TGCGGGCTGCTGCTTTCTGTAGGGCACAGCAGTTACAGAGGTGCACCCACAGCCTGCCTGCTCCCTTTTTCCTTCTGCAGAGCACCCCGGCGCGATGCTCTGCCCCCCCGCAGCTCCCCCCTCACTGCAGCTTCCCCTCGCAGGCATCAACCTGCCAGAGCCTGGCTTGCTTCCCTCCTAACATCCCATTAAAAGCTTCTGCCACCGCCCTGGCAGGAGAAGGTCACCTCCCCAGCCCACAAAGCTCGCTGTGCCGCCGGGGATGGAGCTGGGGGAGCAGCTGCCAGGAGAGCTCTTTGGCACGGCGTTTGGGCACGATGGCGCAGAGCACGGCACCGAGCTCAGAGCTCCCTTTCCCCATCCTCCCTCCTTCCTATGACCTCCCCCATCCCGTCCCACTCCCGTCCCTGCTCCAGCCAGCAGCTCCCCAGCTCCCCCCGGCTCCCCGCAGCGGGACCCCCGTGCCCGGTGCTGCTGCGGGCACTCACAATTATCATCCGGCAGACGTGGCCGCGGCAGAGCTCGGAGTAGGAGGAGTAGTGCATGTAGGCCACCCAGCTGCCCACGAAGATGCCCAGCCACACCACCAGCAGGTATTTCACCTTGATGCCCGGCAGGCGACTCTGGAAGGGAAAGAAATCACGGGGGAAGGTCGGCGGCTGCGGGTGCCCATCGGTGCCGCCCAACCCGGGCGCAGGCCGGGCCCCAACTTTTCCCCACAAACCAATCTCAGCGCCGATGAAACCTTCAGCATTTTTATGTATATTCAGCAGCCTATTATGCAACTCCTGCTGCAAGTAGGTCACTTAAAATTCCCTACGAGCAGGGAGATTACAGTGCTGAGAGGAGCCTCCTGCCATGCGTCCACGCGCCCGGGAGCCGCTGCCCTCCGCAAAGGGTCGCTGCCAGGGCAGTGAGCGGCCCCCTCCTGCCCACGGGGACCCTGCTTGTCCTCCCACCTGGGTAACGAACCTGTAAGTGCCCGGGTGATGCCCTGTGCTAACGATACAGAGGCTCGCAGCACGACTTTGTTCTCCTGGCTTCGATTTTTCCCGTCTGACCCTGCAGCAGCACTGCTGCCCTCTGTTTGGTGGCCCGTACAGCACCACACGGTGCAGTCCCTGGTGGCTCCTCAGGGCAGGGGACTAACCCCATTTCTCCTGGGGTCTGTGCAAAGTCCTTGCTTTGTGCCAGCCCAACAGAGCTCTTGGCTGGTGGCTGCCTCCAAGCCCTGCTCGCACACATGGCAGTGAGACCACAGCATGCCGCACGCCTGCTGGGGCTGGATCCGAGGGGATGCGGCACCGCTACAGCCTGCAGGGCTCCGTGTCCTGACCCTGTCCTCCAAACGTCCAGATCCTGTCCTCCAAAACTGCTCCCAGCTCTAAAACACCTCCTAGCACGGCCGCTGCCTTGCTCCTGTGCCAGGCTGCAGCCAGCAGCGCAGCCGGGGTGAACGGGAGCGTGAAACCGCCCGGGTGTGAGACGAGATCACGGCACCTTGCACGGTTAATTGGCAATACCCAAGCGTGAGCCGGCCCGTGGTGCCCTTTTTGCCTGTCGAGCAAGTGCTCCGCTAATTAACGCCTGTTAGAAGAGAGCCCAGCCACAGCGAGGACTTGGCAAACATAAAGGACGGCGGCGTTTTCCTACAGGGCTGCACCCAGGGGCCGAGGGCAGCTCTGGTGGCTGCAGTCAGACTGAGTCCCTGGGGCCTAGGAGACCCCCCGAAACTGCCCAGCAGCAGGGGTGTGACCCACCAAACCCTCAGCAAAGGGACCTGTTGATGGACCTCCCCCATTTTGGGGTGATAAAGCCCTGGAACAGCCCAAATATCCCCGTTGGCTTCCTCAGACCAAGAACCCATCACTTTCCCAGGCAGGAGGGGAGGTCGGGACTGAAGCCTGAGCGTGGCACGTCGCCCCTCAGAGGGTGGAAGGCAGCAGGAAGGTTTGGGACGTTTTGCAACGGGAAGTTCCACGGGGTTTGGGCAACATTTTGCATTTGTGGCTGATGTTACAGTTCCCTACAGGGGCTGAGACTCGAGGCCCGGGGCTCCCTGCCTGCCGCCTGGGCCGGGAGCACAAACCAGCAGGCCGCTGCCCTCCGCTTGCTTGAGCCTCTGTGTTTAGATTTAGGGCGACTCCAGGAGGCGTAGAAGTGATTTGGGGCCAGAGCTGCCTTGCAAAGGCAATCCAGACGGAGCAGCACAGCTCTGACACCACGGGCTCGGCCACCCCTGGCAGTCCCAGTGCCCGGCCCCTGCCCACTGGCACGGCTCCACGCAGCCGCTGCTCAGGCTGCAGGGCTGCGAAGGTGACAGCCGGCTCTCGGCTAGTGCCAGCCCCCAAAATGCCCCCCTTGGCCACACAGCCCCCTCCCCGAGGGCTCTCGGTTCTGCTCCCACCCCTGCCAGCACCCTCTGTCCCCCTTCCCTATCCCTCAGGGATAACCCCGCTGCTCCGGGACTTTTCCCATCCCATCGCTGCAGGGGGAACACCCGGCCCCATCACGGCTGGGGCGCTCCTACCAGTGGCTGAGGAGGGGGAAAATTAATTCATTCATTAATGAATAAATAAGAAGGAACAGAAATAAAGCGAGGGGAAGGAGTCGGCCGCGCTGCTCCAACTGCTGCGTTGGCCGGCTCGGTTATTTATGCGGGGTGGGTGGTGGGCGCATGGACGGACGGACGGATGGATGGATGGACGGACGGATGGATGGATGGAAGGAGGGATGGATGGGGCTGCCTGACGGACAGATGGATGGATGGATGGATAGGAAGGAAGGACAGCCAGATGGCTGGGGCTGCCTGGCAGAGCATCCCACCCCACAGCCCCACAGAGCCGCGGGTTATGCAACCCCCTCAGGTGCCGCTCCCCGGACCCCACACCCCGATGCCGGTCCGGGTGTCCCGATGCCACCCCCTTGCCCCTTAGTGCCGGTCCCCATCCCGGTGCCAGCTGCGCCCCCCGCTCCCTGCTCCCCTTTGTGCGCTGCCGGTGCCGGGATGCGGGGACGGGCACCTCCGAGCCCCCTCCATCCCTCCCCTCCCGTCCCCCCCAGCTCGGGCTCCGTCCCCCCGAGCCCAGCTCATCCCCGTGCTGTACCTGCAGGCCCTTGGAGAGGGGGCAGAACAGCACCAGGTGCACCAACCGCCGGATCCTCCGCATGCTGCGGGCGGCCGCGGGCCTCAAGCACCGGGGGGCATGGCCGGGGAGACCGCGGCCCCCTCCTCTCCTCCGGCCAGCGGGAGGAAAAAACGGAGGGGAAGCGGGTTTGGGGGGGGGGGGATGGAGGGGGCCGAGCCGAGCCGCCCGCTCTGCCCCTCCGCAGCGCAGCCGGCTTGGCACGGCTCGGCCCGGCCCGGCTCGGCTCGGCGCGGCTCCGCCCGGCTCGGCGCGGGGCGGCGCACGCAGCTCCGCAGCAGCTCGGGGAGGCGGGGGGCTGAGCCCCGGCTCGGTACTGGCTCGGTATGGCACGGTACGGCACGGCTGAGCCCGGCCCCGCAGCGGGCAGCATCAGCCCGGCCCCCCCCAGCCGCCCCCGGGGGTCCCCAGGCGGGGATGTCCCCGCGGTCCCCCAGCCCCGGGTAGCCGGGGGGGTCCCGGAGGTGTCCCCCCTTGGGCAGCATCAGCGCTGCTCTGGTCTTTTATTTATTTTTATTTTTATTTTTATTTTTATTTTTATTTTTATTTTTATTTTTATTTTTATTTTTATTTTTATTTTTATTTTTATTTATTATGCATTCTCCTGCCAGCTCCAGGAGCAGCCATCGCTGCTGCTGCGCTCCCTCCTTGCATTTCTTCCTCCTGAAAGCCCGGCAGCAGCAGCAGCAGAGGCAGCAGTAGAAGCAGCAGCAATAGAAGCAGTAGAAGCAGCAGCAATAGAAGCAGTAGAAGCAGCAGCAGCAGAGGCAGCAGCAGCAGAAGAAGCAGTGGCTGCCCTCCCTGGTTGTGTTGGGTTTGGGCAGGGAAAGCTCCAGGCAAGACAGGGGCTGCTTTGTGTCAGGCCCCGAGCAGACAGACCAGGGCCAGCCCCTGCTCTGCTGGAGCAAGCAGAAAGAGGCAGAAATATGATGGGAAACGCTCAGGGAAGACTCCTCACAAGGCCGTTTTTCAGCTAATTCCTCACTTTGCTATTAACAGCTCTTCAGGTTATCCATTCGTCCCCTTTTCCGTGCTTCAGATTGCTTCTTTCCATCTGAATTTGGCTCACGATGACCTCTGATATCAGGCTGCTTGCTTCACACAGCCCCTGAACGCTGCAGCTTGTTTGCAGCCTCCTTTAGCCCCGAGGACGTCCCCGCTGCTCTCGCCCTGTGCGGTGCCACCGCTGCCGGCGCCGTTGCTTCAGTGCCAGGGCCGGGTCAGCATCACGTCCTCCCACATCCCGCAGGCTTTTGTGTTCTGCTAGAGCCAGGATGCTTCTCTGGAGTTTACATGGCTTATTTTTGGTGTTAATTAGCCCAGTAATAGCGAGCTGCAGTGATTCAATTTTATTTTATTTTATTTGGAAAATAAGGGAGATGAGGAGGTGCCTCGCTGGGTGTCGGGGGGAGACGTTGGGTGGGATGGGGGTGCCCAGCTGTGGGATCTCCCCATGATGCCTTCGAGAACCAGGGTCTGGCAGAGCCCCCAGCCCAGCCCCAAGCCCGTTCCCACGGGCTCACACTTACCCCAGTGTCAGACACCCCATGAGGGGTTGGTGCTGAGCCAGCTGTGAGGATGAGGAGGGTCCTGGGGGTCTTGGGGCTGCAATGCGCTGCTTTCCCTCGCAGCCACAGGGAAATTGCTCTTTTACTCCTTTGGCTCTTTCCCCCCTTTCCTCCAGGTGCCTCCTGCAGCACGCAGCATGTGGCCGAGCAAACCCTTGGGCTGCTGGCAGAGCGCTCCGGTGCCCTGTAGCCTAACAAACTCCTCATTTCCCTCATTTCTGGGGCCGAGCGTGGTGCACACGGCAGGACGAGACCCTCCTTGGAGTCCTTGGGGTTTAAGATGAGAAAAGCCAAGTCTGGGCCAAAGCTGCAAGGCTCCAAGTGCCGGGGAGGATCTCTGCTGCGCTCGGGGGTGGATTGTCCAAAGAATCTAATTAGGAGTGAGCAGACCTTCCCGAGCTGTAATACGCCGAGTAATTGGGTGATTAGTATTGATCGTTGGAATGCTTAATGAGCAGTTATTGCCAAATGATTAATTAATCCAATCAGAGGAGTAATACAAATTCTGCAGGTGTGATGTGAGCTGATCTTCCAGGCGGGGAGCGAGGGCAGCGGGGGTCTCCCCACTCGCATCCCAGGCACGAGGAGAGCCGGGCACCACCCGGAGCTGTTGGCTTTGCTGCAAGCTCCCACGGCTTGGGCCACCCCCAGCCCTGGGCTAGGGGCTCTGTCCCCTTCCCCAAAATCCCCGGGGCAGATGTGTGGAGCTGCTCCATGTGGCACGGAGGTGGGAGGATGTTGTCCCCCCTCATCCATCGGCATCCAGAGGAGGCCAAAAGCCATCGATGCTGATCTCCTCCATGGGAATCGCTCCTTCGCACCTTTGATTAATTTGTTCTGGTTTCTCCTGGGTCATTCAGCCCACAAAAGCTCTGCTGATGTCTGCTAAACCCATCCCGTGCGGCACAATCACCTGGGATCGCCTCACAGTGGCTCTCTGGGGATGTCCTGGAGCCACATCATGGGGACATGGGAGCTCTCTGGGCACCCACGGCCACATAACAGAACTTTGCTGCCCCTTACCATGCACCCGACTGTGCTAGGACATTGCTCAATTAATTAATTACAGCACCCCCTGGCTGTGGGTGTCTGCTCTGTTTGACAGCCCAAGGACAGCCCGTCCAAATGCCACTGCTGGGCAGGGAGGGGAGGCACCCAGCACCAAAACAGGAGCTCCGAATTTTGCCCCTCTAGTGCCCGAGGGACACGGGCTCACCCCCTGCCCACGTCCCCTCCTCTCCAAGTGGTGCCTTCGGTCCCAGCCCTGCTGCCCATGGCCACGATTTCCCCTGGGGGCTCCGATTCCCCCGTCAGTCCCAGCTTGGGAGATGATGGATCGGGTCCCAGTGCTCCTTCCCGTGCACCCTGTAAAGGTTTGGGGCTGCTCACCCGCACCCTGCCCGCCATCCACAGCTGCCTCCGCCTGCCTGGCGGGCCCTGATGCGGCTGAGCACAGGATTTATAATTAGAAATGCTAATCAGCTCTGGTGCTTCTAGCCTGACAGCCCTGCCACCCCCAGCACAGTCTTCCCTCCCATCTGTCCTGTGCTCGCCCCCTCCGCTTCCTCTCCAAATTCCTGCTCTTTGTAACCCAGCCCTACAGAGCTGGGGAGAGGGGGAGCTCCCAGTCACCACCAGTCCCTTAACTGGGGACACCCTGGGGACATCCCTGACCCTGTCTGGGGTGGGCAGGGGCAGAGGGGCAGAGGCGAAGGATGGTGGCTGCGGCTGTGGCTGTGGGCAGACCCGAGGAGCTCGGTGTGCCCGGTGGCTGTGGAAGGGGAGCTGCTCTCATTAGGATTTCCGTCATGCACCAAGCGCTGGCTCTTCCCAGCCGAGGAGAAAAACGAGCTTGCAAAGGAGCACGGACAAGGAGGCTGAGCAAGCAGATCCCTGCCCGGGCTGAGCTGGCGGAGGAGCGATTCGTCGTCATGCCTTGTGCTCGGAGGCACAGCCCGGGGGATCCCTGGCTCGCTGGTGCCTGCAGGCAATCCCCACGTCCCTGCCTCCTGGGAGCTGGGATCCTGTGGCCACAAGAGCCAGGACATCGCCTTCTCCCCAGCACCACAAGCATCCACAGCAGGGCAGAGGCTGGCAGACCTCACCCCGTGGTGCTACTGAAACCCCTTTGGGTGATGTGGTGGCAAGGGGTGCGCTGACACGGAGCAAAACGTGGATTTTATCCCGAGCCCAGCCCTGGGCATGTCCAAGCTGAGAAATACGACAGCGCCTCTAAGGGTGCAGTGCTGGGAGAGGATGGATGGAGATCCTGGGATTACAAATCAGCCTTCCTCTTCCAGGTGCTGCTTGTTTATTAATTTCACCTGCCTGCAGGAGAAGGCTCCGTGTGCAGCAGGGAAGGGTTTTTAAGAAGCAGGGGAGATCCCTTTACCCCCTGCCCACAGCCAGCTGCTGGTGGGCGTCCCGTCCTCCCTGCACCCCGAGCACCGTGATTTCCAGAGAAAGGGACACAGGAGAAACAAGGAGGCAGCACAAATGGGGTGCTCCAAGGGCTGCCCAGAACAGGCTGTGGTGGCTCTGGTGGCCACAGGCTCATGACGAGGTGCTGGCGGTGCATGCAGCTGCCTGGCAAACCTCTGAGGATGGGTTTGGCTGGGCTCATCAGGGCTAATTGGCCCTAATTGGCTCCCCCCAGTGCCGTGGTGCAGGTTTCACCCGCCGTGTGAGCAGGGTTCCCGATCACCCAGGCGTTAATGAGGGCCTGACCCCGGCTGCGCAGCCACTTGAGTTTTCCCGACGCAGACAGCTGGCTTAAGGGGCCCTTTCACTCCGCGGATATCAGATCAATGGGGACGGTTATAATCCAGTGCTTGGGAAAGCTGGGAGCGGGCTTTGCAGCCCAGCTAGCTCACAAAAAAAAAAGCAAGCAAGGGGGAGAGGTGGTGATGAACTATTGATCGAGCAGGCGGCCGTGCTGCTCCCAGAGACGGCTCCTGCAGAGAACTCGCCCGGGACAGTTTGCCTCTCTGTCTCTCGCTAATGCTGCTCCATTGATCTTCTGTGACAGGCGGCAACGACGAGATTTTTAGTTCTTTTTTTAGTAGCTGGAGTCATTAAGAAGCATTAATCAATAACAGGGGAAACACGGAGAGCCAAGCCGCTCGCTTCACGCGGACGTGTTCCCCGTGTGGATTTTAGCCTCCCGAGGTGCGCCTGGTTCGTTTCCAGCAGCCCAGCCAGGGAGGGCTGCCAGGAAAAGTTCACCTTGTGTTGGACTCCGGCACTTGGAGGAGATCCCAAGCTGGTTGCGGCACCCAGCAGCTCTCTCCAGGCCGTGCAAAGAGCGGGGTCCAGCTTGGGAGCTGGTGACACCCGACCCCAGGTACCCAACCCCAGTGTCACCCAGCCCTGATCCCACACGGGTGCCCCAGGAGGAGCTGGGCTCTGGTTTCACAAGCCCCGCTTGCTGGGTATTGATTTCACATCATGCTTTTGCTAAATCCAGTGCAGCCTGGCAGCGGTGCAAGGTGTCCCAGCCCTCGCCCAGCCTGGGCTCGTCCCCTGTGGGGTGGCTCAGCCCCCGGGGCCCTTCAGGGAGCTTGGGGCTGTCTGCAAGGAAAGCTCTTTGTGCTCAAAGTGCCCTGGGCTGCACCGCTCCCTCCTCCCTGCCCTCAGGGTGTTTGTGTGCCCGTTTTTCTTCTTAATCAGCTCCTACGCTCAGCCCCAGCAAGTGCTGGAGCCAGTCTTGGAGAGCTGGAGCTCGGCAAGTGCAGCTGGGAGCCCTCTGCACAGGAGCAGGAGGACAGGTTGGATTTTGGAGGGGTTTGTGAGGAGTTGCTGTGGTTCCCTGCCCTCCTGGCCGGCTGCAAGAGGTGTGTGCTGTTGCAGGGACGGGCTCGGGCTGTGGATGGAGCTGCAGCCGCCTGCATGCGGCCTGAGGACCGGCCCCCAGGGCTCTGAATGCACTTGTGGACTCAGTCCAAAGGGTGTATGTACCGAGGGATGCTTCAGAGCAAGGGAAAAGCCCTTCTGGAGGAGGGGATGGAGATCCCGGAGGAGAGAGCTTCCCTTTCCTCTCCGTACACGCCTCGCTTCCACTCCCAAACCCCAGTGGCCCGCTGCTCCAACCCTCCTGGGCCGTTACGCTGTGGTAATTACTGCAGCTCCCTGGGGAAATGGGATCTTCATCTGCGCTGTAATTACAGCCGCACATCCACGGCAAAGGGCTCAAAGGGAGCAGGGGAAGCGGCAATGGGGAGCCTGCCCTCCCAGCAGCAGGCACACTCGGAGGATCACGCAAGCTGTAAGCAGCCGGCACAGCCTCAGCCCTGCTCTCACACACTCACACACCCACAAACACTCTCATTCCTCTCCGTTCGGGGTGTTCCTGGCCATAGCAGGAGCCACCGCTGGCCACCTGGCACTGCGTGTAGGAAGCCACCCATTCCCTTCCCTAAATCTTTGCCCTCTCCCATCCCTGTTTGCAGGACCAGCTGCAGGTTTGCTCAGCGCTGTCACCCGAATCCAGCCCAGCTGGGGGGAGTTCTGCTGCTGTCTGGTGGCTCCCTGACACGAGAGTCCCTGACACGGAGATAGAGCAATCCCCTCTTCGGTCCCACGTTGGCCATCAGGAGAAACCTTGGGCCAGTGACTTTGCCCTCCCTGCACAGCCGGGCCAACCACCCCCTCACTTCCATCGGCACAAAATCCATCAGAAACGGTCAGTTTGATTTCATTTATTTACACATGACATTTGGGGAAAAGCCGAATCCTATTGCAACTGGGGAAAAAAAAAAGAAAAAAGAAAAGTCCCGACCTTTCAGCTCTGTTTCCGAGGCTGTGCCCCGCGTGCAGGGCACTCACGTTTCACCCAGCACCCCGCCTGCTGCACGTGGTGCAAGGTCCTGCAGAGCACCGGGAGCAGGGAGCTTCTCCAGCCTCAGCGTGCAAATGCAGCAGGCAGATCTTGCAGCCTTGTATTTTTTCTGTCTGCTGTTTCCTGCACTGTCTGCCAGGAGCAGAAGCCTGGCAAGGAGTGTTTAGGGACAAGGTGGGGAGGCTGGCATCTCTGGGGAGCAAACGGCAAACACCAGCAGGGGGTTGCTGCTCCCCTTGGCCCTTTTTAGTCCTGCTGTGCTCCGAGACCTCCACCTCTGCAGCTCCGGGTGTCCAAAGCACACGGGGCTGTTCTCTGCAGGTCTCTGCCACGGAGCTGCCACGGAGCTTGTGGTGTGAGATGTGCAAAGTGCTTGGGTCCCCTGACACGAGAGACCATAAAACCACATCTGGCTGCAGCTAACATCCGAGAAGATAAAGAAGTCACTTTCCCAATAGTTATCTGTAGCTGGGTAAAGGTTATGTGAAGAAAACCAGTTACCTAACATACTTTTGCAATTTATTTATTTTTTTTTTCTTTTTAATTTCTCATTCTTACAGACAACCTCCTTTCTCCTTTTTTTTTCTCCAGAGAGCAGGGGAGGCTGCGCATCCACAGCCCCGCTGCCAGGGCGTTTTGGCAGTCCCAGCCTTCAGCTTCTTGTGCAACCCGACTGCTTCGTAGCCCGGTGGGTGACTGCAGCGCTCGCATTTAAACCACACTGAGTCAACATCCTAATTCCTCCCCGAGTGCTTACGCTGTTGTCATGAGAGCGCTGACGTGTGACTACCTAAAAGCCCAGCAGCTACAGGGAGCACGGCCATGGGGCACCGGGAGCTCGTGCGGCAGCTGGGGGTCAGCCTGAAGCTCTGCCCGGCCATCCTGAGAGCTGGGGAGGGAAAGGGAAGGCTGTGAGCGTGGGTGCAGCCCAGGGACACCGCCACAGCATCCCCACGGCAGGGTGAGCTTTGCCTCGGGTGCCCCAGGACCCGTTTAGGCTGAGCGAGCGGGACGGAAAGGGGATGAACCCACATCCTTTGCACAAACGGCTCTCAGCTGCCGTCCTTGCCTGGCAGAGCAGCCCGCAGCAGGCAGTGTCAGCCTTAGGGCAGCCTTGTTTATTGAGGGAAAGATGTCCCAGGTTACCCATCTATACCCATACCTTCATGGAGCAAGCTCTAGCAGAGTCAGTACATCAATATCATGATGCTGTGCAATTTATGTCCCCTGCCTGAGCCACGCAGAGGTGACACTAAGCCACAGCAGGCTCTGGGAGGCACCTCAGTTGGCTGCTATTGAGACAGGCAAGAGGGAAGAGGATGGCTCCGTCCGCGGATGGATAGGCTGACAGAGGTCCAGAAGAGGTTAGATCAGATGCGTGGATCACCTTACGGTTCCCAGGTCTCTGGCAGGCGAGGTTATTTTGCATCCCTCAGCAGCAGGAGGTTGCTGTCTGGGTGCTTCAGCGCCCCGGGGCTCCGTGCTGCCCACGTTATCAGTCCTTCCTCACAGGGCTCCCGGGCCAAGGTCACCGGCGTGTGCCTTGACAGGGCTGAGAACAAAGCTCAGCAGGTCGCTCCCTCCCTCCCCCTCTGCTTTTAATGTCACCAAAACCAGCTGCTGTTTTCAGCACGTCCCTTGGCAGGAGGTGAAGAGAAACGGGCTGCTGGGCAGCGCTGCCAAAGGCACTGGGAGAAGCCAAGGGCAGGCACTCGGGAACCAACGAGGGACACGTCTCTCCTTTCTCCCTTCCTTCCTTCCTTCCCAAGTGCTTTCCCTCTCTGCCCTTCTCTGCTCGTCGTGCTGCCTGCGTGGGAGACGTTCTCACCGGCTCCGTTTCTTCTCCAGGCAGGAGCTAGTCATCACAAGTGAGGTCACACACGCTGTTTCCATGGGAAGCAATACATTTAGTCAAATAAGAGTTAAAAAAAAACAACGCCAGGTTACTACAAGGCATCAGACGACCAAAGCCAACGGGTGACGCTCTGGGCTTTGTGGTGTTTCGCAGACCCAGCCACAGAAACCCCATCATCGGTGATGCTGCATGGACCCTGCTGCTCATGTAGGTCCCAGCACCGTGCTCTGCTCTGAGCACTCTCATCTCAGGCAGCTTTTCCAGGCTGCTGCTGCGGATGCTCGAGGGCACCGGGCACCGCACACAACCTGAACAGGCAGCGCCTGCTGCTGAGAGTTTGTGGTGTGCTCAGCGCTGGCTGGGTGCTCGTTTCTGCCAGCGTTTCTGGACCCTGCTCAGCTAGACTACCTGCAGGGTACGCTTGCAATGCATCTAAATAATTCAGTCGGTAGTTTAAATATGCAAAACATGCAGCGCAATCTAGTAAGTTGATTTTTTTCTTTAATAAGCATTTGGAATTGCTTTCTTCTGGCTGCTGAAGCGAGAGCGGGCAGGGAGGGGTTGCTGCTGCCTCTGCCCAGGGTCGGCCGCGGCTCGGGGCTGGTGACACAACCCCTGTGGCACTGGGGTGTGCGGGCCCTGCTCTGTAAAGAAGCTTGGCACGATAATGTTCATACACGGGCTGTCGTCATCTGTCAGCACAACCACCTTCCTTATGAAATAACCCAGAGGGACAGCTCTGCTGGCTGACGTGCAGGCCCGTGTCTGCCTCCTAATCTGGCATCAGAAATCACTCCCCTTCCTTGAGCTGCAGACTAATGCTAAATGTTCCGTTTGCATCACTCCAGGTAACCTGCTGGAGAGCACGGGGAGGAGGAAATTACAGCCGGGCTCCCTTATAGCCACATCCACGAAGCAACGCCTGATGCTGTCCCCTCCGTGCTGCATTTCCTAGTGCCATTTGCCGTCTGCACCACATCCACACTGAAACTCACATTGAAACTCACATTTCGGTGGGTCAGCTCACACGCACCCCAGTGACGGATTGCCGGTGACTTTCCTCCCATGTCAACAAAAGCGAAAGTCATGAAGATAACGCAAGATCGCTCTAGGCCATCACATGCTTGGCTGCAAAGGCGGCGCTGCCTTCCCAGGCTGGCAGCGCGCTGGAGCAAGGCTCGCCGAGCAGCCTCTGCGATGCGGGCCCGGGGGATTCATCTAATGCCGTGCCGAGATGCTAACACAATAAGGGTTCTTTGTGGCGTTAGCAGGGATCATGAGACCGGCTCTGAGATGTCATTGCCTGGCGGTTGTAGGGAGTTGCTCTCTCCGACAGAGAGAAAGCTTGTCTGCTGGGTCAGGCATGACAGCTGCTGAGGGGTGGTGAAAACGCAGCGAGCTGCCCCTGGTTTTGGTGGCTGCTCACGTGGGAGCCGAGGGGATGAGTTATTTGTGAAGGGATATCGCTTTTCCTCTGGTTTTCCAGGAGCTGGGAAGTCTGCTGTGCTGATGCCACCGGTACCGCAGCGCCAGGGGTGTAAATCCAGCACGCTGCCAGGCCCACCTCCCACCCCGATGAAGTCATTATCATCCACGGGACTGGGATTTTACCATAAAAAGTGTTGCAAAACCTGCTGAAGCCAGAGAAAGGGTTTGTGCTGGTTCCAGCAGACTTCCTTTCATCTCCCTTGCCAGCTTCGCGCCCACGAAGCCGTTGGGCCTGATCCTGACTTCACCCCAGTGCCAGCGGGGGAACTCCCACCCGCCGAGCACGCGGCTCTAGGGTCCTCTGCGGGGAGGCAGGGAAACAGCCAGGGGGTGGTGAGGGGGCACCATGAAGGGTCCCAAAGACCCCAGATGGCACCATGGGGGCACCCAAACACAGACCTCAGGGCACCGTGAGGGAAGCTAAAGACCCCATGTAGCATCAGGAGGGGATCTAAAGACCCTGCATTGAGTCATGAGGGGACACAAAGACCCCACATATCGTCATTAGGGAATCCGAAGACTCCACACAGAATTATGAGGGGACTCAAAGACCTCACATATTGTCACGAGGGGACCCAAAGACCCCCCAGATTGTCACAAGGGGACCCAAAGACCCCACATATTGTCATGAGGGTATCCAAAGACCAAACATAGCATTATGGGGGGACTCAAAGACCCATATATTGTCATGAGGGAACCCAAAGACCCCATATAGAATTATGAGGGGACCCAAAGACCCCACACACTATCATGATAGGTCCCAAAGACCCCTCAGATTGTCACAAGGGGACTCAAAGCCCTTACAAAGAGTCAGGAGGGGACCCAAAGACCCCACATATTGTCACGAGGAGACCCAAAGCCCCCGCATATTATCATGAGGGGACCTTGAGACCCCACAGATTGTCACGAGTGGACCCATAGACGCCACATACTGTCACCAGGGGACCCAAAGACCCCACATAGCATTATGAGGGGACTCAAAGACCCCACATATGGTCAAGCAAGGACGCAAAGCCCCCACATACTATCACGAGTGGACCCAAAGCCCCCCACGTATGCCCACGCGGGGACCCAAAGCCCCCTCCTCACACCACGGGAGGCACCCCCAGCCCCCCACACCGTACCACGAAGCACCTTAGGGCCCCCCTCCCTGCTCCACCACAGCCCCCCACGTCCTTCCCCACAGCACCGGGCCGGCCCCGGCCGCCTTCCCCCTGCCCTCCCCGCCTGGCTGAGGGCCGGGCCGGGGCTGGGCGAACCGCCCACATAAGGCGGGGGCAACCCAGAGCGAAAGGCTGGAAGGGACCAGGGTTTAGCTCTCCTCGGTGGGCCCGGGGGTTGGGGGGGGTAAAAGGAAGGGAAGAAAGCAGCAGCATGGAGCTGGGCTGGCTGCTGTGGGGGGCGGCGGTGCTGCTGCTGCTGCCCGTGCTGATGGAGCTGAGCCCCGCCGTCAACTTCGCGTTGCGGATCGGCTTCTACTACCTGCTCTTCTTCGTCTGCTCGGCTCTCACGGCACCCGTCTGCCTGCTGGTCAACGGCGGCCGAACCGTCAAGAACATGAGGCGAGTGCTGGGGGTAAAGGGGGGAGCCCCGGGGGTCGTGGGGGGGAAGCCCCCGGGACACGCGTGGGTGGTGGGGAGCCGCGGTGGTGCTGCCCGCGCTGTGGGGATGCTGCTGGGGATGGCTCGGGGAGAGGGTTGGGGGTGGCTTCCAGGCTTTAAGGGGGGTTTTGGGGGGTTCAGAGCACCCCCTGTGTCCCCCAGTGCTGTGGTTGTGTGTGGGACCCCGGCAGGAGCAGCAGGTTGGGGGGTGATGCTGGGGTGTTCCCTTTGGCATGCCTGTGGTGAAGGCACCAGCGGTGTTGTCTCCTCCAAAAGCGGTGCCTGTGCTGTTTAAAACACCCCCGTGCTCCACCTGGGGAGCAGGATGAAGAACTTGGCACCAAGCAGCTGCCCAGGGGGCATTAGGGTCCTGCCACGGCCACCCCGGGGTGCTCGGTGCTTGGGGATGAGCTCAGGGTGCTCCTGGAGAGGAGCAGCCCCAATGTAGGTGAAGGCACAGGAGTGTTTCAGGAGCAGGGCTAGCGCTTGTGTCTCTGGTGGTTTCTGTCCAAAATCCTCTTGCTACGGGAGGATTTGGGCTGCTGGTGGCTACCAGGCCCTGCTGCCAGCCCCACTTCGTTTCTCCTTTCACCCCGCAGGCTGAGCTCTGCGGGCAGGGAGTTGGGGGAACTTTTCCTTGGGGGTGAACGCGGAGCCCCGGTGCCTTGACACATCCTCGTGGATCAAAGGTTGGGCAGCGTCCCGGCCCGTGGAGCTGGACTTTGGCTGCTTTGGGGCTTGATGCAGCTCCCAGTGCCCCACGCGGGGAGGAGCGAGCGGTGTCGGGAGGAAACGCGGCTCCTGCGCCCTGCCCTGCCCCGGGCCATGCTCTGCCATGCGCCCCGTGGGCTGGCTGCGGGCACTACAAACCACTCCTTGCCCTGGGGTCTCCATCCCAGCTCTGTCTCGGGCATTGACTTCCTTGGCTTGCTCCGGAGAACCTTTCCAGAGCAAGGTCTCCTCCTCCCAGGAGTCGACAGCCAACCCTGCGACCGCTAGAGTTTGTGATGTCAGTTATGGAAACGCCCTTTTCCCCCTTTTTCTTTTTTTTTTTTTCCTACCCTTAAAACTTTTAAAATCCACAAAGCTAAAAAGGAACTTCGCTGGGAACAAGAGCTCCTTGCTCTGAACAATCCTCCTGTTGAAAGCGGGAGCTGAATTTTGGCCAGAACCACCCTTTTCCTGTAACTTAAGCCCATCGTTTCCACGCGCTGGCGCTGGCTGATGATCCTGGTCGCGTATCCTAGCTGCTGGGAGGTCTGCGGCTGAGGTGATCTAACCAGCTCCTTATTTCTGCCATCTCCCAGGCTGTTTATACCGCCGTGAGGAAAGGGGTTAGGGGAGAGCACATGCCGGTGGTCAGACGGCGATAGCGGCGTCGCTGCCTGGCGCAGAACGCCCTGTCCTTGCTGTGCTCCTGGCCCCGGCGCCGAGTCGGTGTGACTTGGAAGAGGTTTGCCCTCCGTGCCTGATAGAGACAGATCTGTTTATCTAGTGGCGAAACCTCTTGCGAGAGAGTTTCCAATCTGGTAAGCAGCAGCCTGCAGCTAATCCTTCAAAATCAGGGGATCCTAAAAAAGCCTCTGGCGCAGGCTTCGGAGTGTGTGGGGCTGGGGTTGCTGGATCTCAGGCTCGAGCTGTTACAGATGTGCTGGAAAGGCACGTTCCCTATTTATCCACTAGCTCCTTGTGCCTGGCAGCAAGCACATCAGGTTTACAGCTGCGTGTAGCTGCACTAAGTCAGGGTCACCCACAGCAGCAGGGAGGCTGCTCGCACGGCTGGAGGGTTTAGGATCTGTCTGCACGGCCCCGTGGGTGACGTGGCCAGCTGGAGCAGGGCTGCCCATCGCCCGGTTCCTCCTCGCTTGCTCCGAGCTCTGCCCCTTTGCCTCTTTCAGCAGCTCAGGCCACATCTTGTGCAAGGAAGCGCTCGCTCCTTACTGGCAGGGGGAAGTTGGATGGTTTGCTCTTGAGTAATGTGTAATCAGCCTCTGCCGGCAGCTTCCGAGCGCCGTGACTTCCAGAGCAGCGACCTCTCCTTTGGTTGGCAGGCAGAAGGGAGGAGAAGTGGGATGTAGGTCAGGCCGGTGCCGTGGCCTCCACCGTGCCCTCAGCGGTCTGTGTCACCTCGGCTCTCCTCACCTGCCCCTTGTCCCCGCTCCCCCTCGGCCCCGCAGCCTCCGTGCCTCCCTGCCTGCCTCCCCTGGGTGCGGCTCTGACCTTTGCAGCAGGTTTGCGTGCCGGGGGCTGATAGCAGCTGTGTCACACAGCGGAGTTACCCGCGGCCACTGGCCTGCCTTGAACCCCTGGTGTTCAAGCCAGAGCCCCAGGGATCTGTATGGCAGGGGACCCCATGGAAACACGGCCCTCGCTGCGGGAAGGAGCGAGGCAGGGAAGTTGTGTGGAGGGGAGCTTGTGGCTGAAGAGCTGATGGCAGGGATTAGGAGGACTTTTGGGGATTAGATGCTGGGATCCCCTCCAAACTGGGATGAGATGCCTGCTGGTTGCTCACCTGCCAGCCCAGGTGACAGAGATGCTTCCCGGGTGTGTACCCCTTCAGCAGGACCCTGTGGTGGGGGAGAAGCTGATATTGTCCCTCTTTTCCCTACAGCAGGGAGAAAAACTCCATCCCCTGTCTGCAGGGAGAAGGTACAGGGTGTCCGGGTGCTGCTGGATGCTCATGGACCTGCTCTAGGGGAGGCAGAGCTGTGCTGGTGGCTGCTGCTGGGGGCTTTGCTCCTGTGCAAGCTCCTCCACCTCCCGTCCTGGCAAATGGCTGCTCCCCTGCCCAAAATAGCCCTCGTGTGCTGCCAGCTTCTGCCCGTGTCCTTTGGCCCACTTGGAGGGTCCCCAGCTCCCACCTGCCCAGGGGTGGTGGCCGTGGGTGGTGCTGCCAGGGGCTTGGCCCCTGAGCCCGGGCTGTCCGTGCTCAGCAAGGGCACAGCACCCGCGGGATGCGTTGGCAGGGCTGAGCCGAGCTGCCAGGGCCTCCTGCCAGCCCCTGACCTTCAGGCACTGGGGAAGAAAGCCAGGAGCTTGGTGGACAGACCTGAAGGTGCACCAGGGGACCAAACTGGCAGGAGGAAGCTCTTGGCTTGAAGGTGGCTTTGCCAGGGGCACTTCCCCAAGGCCAAGCTGCGTGGGGAGCGCCCCGTTTACTGCTTGTGTCCTTTTGTTGTACCAGGGCGTGCTTCTTGCCTTTGTTCTCCTCCTTTTTTGGCATCCCCCAGGGTAAGAACACCCCGCTGGTGGTGGTCCTGCTGAGCAGCACCTGCCAGCAGGGCAGTGGGCAGGGTTAGCAGAGCACTGCTCGGGTGCAAGGTGCAGGCTGGTGGCCGTGTGCTGGGGAGTGGCAGTTCCTAGAAGAGCTGTCAGAGCAGGTTGTGGGGCTCTGCTGACTGCAGCAGGAAAGCGTCGGTGGCGTTGGGGCAGATCGTGATGCAGAGGGAAACGGGCAGTGATAAAGGGATGGGAGTGGTCCAGGCTCAAAGTTACTCGGCTTCCCCCAGGCTTTCAGTGAAATTTCCCCGCTGGAAAGGGCTGTGCTTAGCAACTGAAGCACCTTGGGCACATGGGGCCAGTCATGCAGGACAGGCACCTAGGTGAACCAAGGGCAAATGAGACTGGAGGCTGGCTGGAACACGATTCTCACCTCCTTCCACCCCTTCTGGTGCTGCACGGTGCAGCAGACCCCGTTACACCCCTGCCCAGCTGCTGTCTGACCGCTCTCCTCTTCTCTTTTCTCTTCCCCAGGATCATCAAAACCGTAGTCAGGACCTTCAAGTACTTCTTCGGCCTGAGGTTTGAGGTGAAAGGACTGGAGAACTTCGAGGTGGAGGGCCCAGCCATCATCGTGTCCAACCACCAGAGCATCCTCGACATGATGGGTGAGGAGCTGGCCCGAGGGAGGGAGCGCTTCTCTTGTTCGCCAGCTGGGAAACCCTGCTGGCCACGCAGCCCCCCCTGCCCTGGCACTGGTCTACGCTACCGAGGCAGCTGGGCCAGCTTTCTCTCTCGGTGCTGGGTTCAGGAAGGGTTTCTCCTCTCGCCCTGAGCCATCACAATCCCCTCCCCGCCTCGGATCGTGTCTCTTGTCCCGTCCAAGTGCAGGCGCTTGGGAATGGGGGTGGCTGCTGGGTCTCACCCTCTGCCGTCACGTTAGGGCTGATGGAGGTCCTGCCCGACAACTGTGTCCAGGTGGGGAAGAAGGAGCTGATGTACGCCGGCACCGTGGGGCTCATCATCTACCTCGGGGGTGTCATCTTCATCAACAGGAAGAGCACCAGCAGTGCCAAGATGGTGATGGCGGAGGTGGCCAAGACGATGGCGACCGATAACGTGAGTGTGGCCGGGGTGGCCTGGGGGGATGTGGCAGCCCTGCTGCTGCCTCCTCCGGCAGGGATTGAGTGCTGCGAGGGGATCGCTGGAGCAGGGCCTTATCTCCCCGCATGCAGGTGAAGGTGTGGGTGTACCCGGAGGGCACGAGGAACTGCACCGGGGATTTGCTGCCGTTCAAGAAGGGAGCGTTTCACGTCGCCGTCCAGGCGCAGGTAACAGCGCTTTGCTCCTGCGTGGGGGACCCTGGAAGGTTTTGCAGACTGGTTGTGCAGTCACAGGGCCAGGTTGCTCTCAAGGAAGCTGTGCTCCTCCGTTAAACCACCATTAGGTGTCACAAGCACTGCCCAGCAAGAGCTGAGGGCCTCTCACTCTGCAGGAGCAACGTGACCCCTTGGAGCGGGTGGCTGCAGGCAGCGGACAAGCTGCCGTGTCCCCTCTGCTGACCACCCCAGCACCGTGGTCCTGGTGTCCCATCTGGAGGGCAGAGCATTGGGATGGGCACACCTGACCCCTGAGCAGAGCTGCTTTAGGGTCAGGCCCTCGGGGCTGGCTCATGGGCAGCTCCTGGCAGGGAGCCCAGCAGGCCCTGCGCCTCCACAGCTCAACCTGGAGGATCCCAAAGCTGTCAATTCCTTTCTCAATCCCCTAGGCTGCGATAGGGAAGTGTTGATTTGGGTTTATTAAAGCTCAAGCTTCAGAGCAACATCTGGGCTTGCTCTTTGTAGAAAAAGCTGCTTCTTCCCAGGCAGCCATATGGCACCGCTCCGCGTTGTCTTAAAATGCCTTCCCACCCCAAAATGACAAGACCTGTGAGCAGTCAGCGGGGGAACAACCCGTTCCTTGGCTCTGGGCTGTTGGCACTCCTCAAGGAGTGGTGGTGTCCAACTGGAGCCCCGGGGTGTTGGTACAAGCCCAGGTGGAGCCCGAATTGTGCCACCCTTGCTCCTGCCGGGGCTGGTTGGTGGGGCCAGCGGGAAGGGCTGCTGGAGGAAATGGCACCCAGCTCTGTTTACACTCCCCGTGAGTCACCAGCTGCAGATCCTGCCTGTGTTAGCAGCACTGGAACACCGTGGCTCTGTGCTTGCCCTCCTGGCCGTGTCTCTGCCTGTCGGAGGCTCCCCTGGGAGCAGGGGGGGGGTGCAGCCGATGACGCCCTCTGAGCAGCTGAAGGCGCAGCGCCTGGCCTGCCCCATGCTCGTGCTGACCCAGCACAGGAGGCCTGTCCAAACAGGCCTCCTGTAATGCTTGCAGGTCGGAAACTACCTGCGTTTTGAAGCCTGCCCTGGAAGGAGCCAGGCTGAGCGCTGCCTGGGGCTGAAGTGTAGCCTCCCCTGTGGGGCTGTGCGCCCCAAAAGGCCCAGAGCTGGCCCCGCTGCCTGGGACTTGTTCATGGCTTGTCTCTGCCCTGCCCTGGGATGCTGCAGTGCGAGTAACTTTTCCCTTTTCCCCTCTTCCTCCCCAAGGTCCCGGTGATCCCCGTGGTGTACTCCTCCTTCACCACCTTCTATAACCCAAAGAAGAATCTGTTCACATCAGGTACGAAAGAAACCTTGCAGAGACGGGGGCGATGCCGTCTCCGTGTGGGAGGGAAGCGGTGCGGAGCAGCAGGAGCCCTGCTGGCAGATGTGTGGAGGCAGTTCAAATGCTTGGCACCGCAGCCTGGGCTGGGTTAACTCGGGAAAGAATGCGATTAAACATGCCAAGTTTTCATTAAGAATGGGGCACCACCTCGCCCTCTCATAGCTGGCACAGCCAGGGATGAGGGCTCAGGCTCTGGGGAAGAAGCAAGCAGGGTCTGTCTGCAGGCCTTTCAGAGCAGGGACCCCTCTGTGAGTTGTGTCAGTGCTCGGGAGGCTGTCAGGTGGAAGTGCCGGGCAGAAAATTGGCTTTCACCCAGCTTGGATCAGTAGCTCCAGTTCTGGGAGCTCTGCGTGCTCTGTGCCTGGCTCAGCGGAGCCAGCCAAAGGCAGGAGGCCGGGTAGGAGCAGATGGAGGGAGCACCTGGCTCAGGATGAGCCCCGTGTGCTCGTCCCAGCCTTGGCTGAAAACCCTGCAGAGCAGGCGTTGCTGCAGTCTTTCAGGAAAGTGGTGGGCCCTGATGTGGATTTACACCCAGTCCTGATGTGGATTTACACCCTGATGTGTGGCTAGGGCTTGGCCGTGCCCGTGGGCTGAGCTCCTGCGGAGCAGAGGGACCTAACCCAAAGCACGACGCTGCCAGAAGCTGCAGCCTCCTCTCCTGCCCTGCCCTGCAGACTGGGGCATGGGAAATGCTTCGCTGTTTGCTTTGTGCAGCTGCTCAGGACAGGGCCTGATTCCCAGAGCGATCTCTTTCCCCCTGAGGGCAGCGCACCCTGTGCAGGCAGGAATGGATGCCTGGGGGTGAAGGCCGGGCAGGGGGTGAAGGTGTCCTGGGAGGGCAGGGAGCAGCGCTCCCATCATGTGGGGGGCTTCTCACAGGCTCTTCTTGTCTTCTCAGGCAAAATCAAGGTCGAGGTTCTGCCTCCGATAGAGACCAAAGGCCTGACATCCGACGATGTCTCTGAGCTCACCGACAGATGCTACCGCATCATGAGGGAGACCCTCTTCAGGCTGTCCGGCCGCCCAGGCGAGGTGAAGGACTCGTCCTAGATGCTCCTCCAGTGGCGTCACCATGCGGTGGTGGCTGAAGGGACCTGTCTGTTGCCAAATACCCAAGGAACTTCTCTTCTGCAGTGACTTCTAACTCTGGGGACATCGTGGACTGGCACACGAGGCGCGTTGAGCCAGCGCTGAGGTTCCCCACTGAGCGGATTTCTCTTCTGGGTACATTATCTTGCAATGAAACGTCTCCTTTTTTCTGTATTTCTCAGGCATCAAAATTGTGCTACCAAAGGGCTCGATGACAAAGAGGTGAGTTCCCCAGCTCAGGCAGCTGCTGTGGGGCGATGAAGAAAGCCTGGCCGGGGGCTGGGCTCTGCCCCGTGTCCCCACGCCTGCGTTAGGTGCTGGCCCTGTACGGCCCCAGGTGGAAAGCCACCAGGCAGCAACGTGCACATGACGCTGCTCAGACCAAGCTGAAAATTGGGTAAAAAGCCCAACTGTGCGTGCTGGGAGCACGGTGTCCTCCCGGGTCAGGGCAGAGCTCCCGGCTGTCTCTGAGAGATGCCCTTGGGTCTCAGCAGCGCCTTGTGCCGGGCTCTGCGTTGCCCAGGTGCTCTTGAGCCAAACCTTTTGCACTTTGTGGAAAGCTCCCAGGGCCGATACCTTCAAGTGGGCTGAAAAGGGGAGTGCACGCAGCCTTTTAAATGTGTCTTAGGGCTTGGATTTCCTTTATCTGAACAAGTGCTCTTGGTCACCGAGGGGTGCAGCAGTGCAGGGGAAGCTGTAGGCTCCCCAAGCCAGCATACGCGGGCTGGGGCTGTCTGAGTGCTGCCCAGCCTTGCCAGAAATCATCTTCTGAATGAGACCCCGTGCCCGCTGCTGGCATTCAGAGCCACAGCCTGATTAAAAACTGCCCAGATCTGTTAGGGTCTGCCAAGCTGCGCTCAGGACAAGCCTCTGGATGCTTCGGGACGTGCACCCGGGCTGCCCCAGTGCTTCCTCGGTGCAAATTTCTGCCAGCTCCCTGCTGTGCTCTCTGCTCCAGCCCCTCGCAGTGAGCATCCCGGTGCCTGTGGTGCTTGTTCCAGAGGCAGGGGGCTCCTGTCGCAGCCTTGTCATGGTCAGCACTGGCCGAAAGATGGTGCCTCTCCCTTGTCTGTGGGCTGAGCTCAGCGGAGCTGCTGCTCCGAGAGAGAGATGCAAAACTCAGGAGGAGCCACGGGGTGTGTGAGCTGCATCTGTAACGAGCAGCGGAGCTGGGAAGGCTTCGGCTCTTCCCCTGGGGGGTAAAATAAGCTCCATGCTCAGAGCAGGAGTTCAGCTAACGGGGTTTCGCCTGTGCTCCGGGGTAGGGGACCAGCAGGGCTCCTGGATCCCGTGCTGGGAGCTCCAGGAGCGCTGATGCCCTCTGAGAAGAGCAGGGCTGGCTCCCGAGGGTGCTTCCAGGGTGTGGAGAGGCTTCAGCACCCCTGCTAAAGGGGCAACACCTCGAGGTGAGCCCCCTGGGGCTGCTTGGATACCCCGTACAGCCGGGTCTTGCAGCCTGTCTGTGGCTGCGCTGGTGGAAGCAGGCTCGCAGGGCATTTTTGGGGGTAAAGCCTTGCCTGGGGCTTTATGGGGGGGCCTCACGGTACAGTCTCAGGTGTCAGACCCGTGGGATGGGTCGGGGTGGGAGGATGGAAACTCAACCAGCACTTTGTAAGAGCGGCAGGCGAGCGGCTGTCAGAGAGGTTAAACCCAGACGGGTCCCAGGAGAGCAGCCACGGGGGCGACTCCTGCAGCACCTGGGAAAAGGGAGGGGTGCCTCCGGGCCTTGTCTGCTGCTCGCTTTTAATTGGGGTGAGAATGATGTATTTGCTTAAAAAGAAAAAAAAAAAAAGTACACCTTTGGTTATTTAAATAAAGGAGAGTCCTGGTCTTGTGTGGGAGCTGGGGGAGGAAGGCTGGTGTCAGGAAGGGTGCTGACCCGGCGGGGGGGGTTGGGGATCTGGTGGCAATTTCACAGCCTTGTTTTGAGAGCTCCTGCCTGGTCTGGGGCAGGAGGACGAAGACCCCCAGGGAGCTGTCTCAGTGGCCCCAAACCCATCTCAAAGCAGGGCCCTGGGGAGCTCCTTCCCCCCAGTAACAGGTTCACAGCCCCGGTGTGCACAGCAGGAGGCTTTATTTTATCACAACCCTGTGGCACGGCTGTGCCCACGGGGCTCCTCCTGCTGCTGTGGTGGTAGGAAAGCCTCGTACGTGGTCGGTCCCATCTGCTCTGCTGCACCTGCGACCTTGGGCTTGAGCAAACAGGGCTGGGAGGCGGCTGTAGGGCAGGGAGAGACCAGCTACCCCCACAGCCAGCACCGTGCCAGGGTAAATAAATGGGTTTGTCAGCCCTCAGCCCCAAAACCAGGTGCGCAGGGGACTGGTCCCCTGCTTGGCAGCACCCTGCTGGCATGGCTGAGCTGCGCAGGTTTGTCCCTGGCTGCTCTGTGTGGATGACGGGAGTGTCACGGGGAAAGGTTTTGCATTACAGCAGGTAAAACCAGACTCCGTGCCTTCAGGCCCGTGTAAAAGCATCGTCTTTACTGCTCTACGGGACTCGGGGGTGGCAAAGATGACTGAATTAAGCAGGTAATTTCAAAGCAAGTGGCTGCAGCAGCTACCCTGAGGAGACACAAAGCAGCAGCCCCCTGCCAGTGCTGGCTGCAGGGAGAGGAAGGTCCCCAAGCACCCCTGTCCCTGAGCAGTCAGGAGGGACGTGGAGGACAACTGCCCTGCCCTGCTGGGGCTGTGCTCTGCTGGGAATTGGTGCTGGGCACGCAGCACAGCCCCCCCCCGTGCCCCAAGCTCCGTGGGCGATGTCTCTGGGTGACGCCGAGTAAAAGCCAAGCAGCACCGAGCACCGCACGGCCTCACGTAGAGCCAGCCAGGCACCATGAACGGCACGAGGTAAGGCTTTTATTGTCTGCCCCTCCAGCAGCAGTGGGGTGGGATGCTCGAGGGTTAGGAGTCCAGTTTGGAAGGAACTGCGTGACCTTCGGTAAGGTGAGCTGCAAGAGAAAACGCCGGAGATGCTGATGGGGAACCAGCCTTCTCCTGCTACCCTGTATCTTCCTGTGGATGATGTAGCTTCAGCCCCAGCCCGTGGCTGGAGAGTGAGATAAAAGCTACGGATGCGCTCCGCTTCTTCCAGTTCCTCAGGCGCTCAGCTAGAGTTCGTTCTTGCAGGAACCTGGGAAGACGAAAAATAAATCAATAAACCCAGCAGTGTTGTTCCCCGGGGTTTGGTGTGGTGACAGCGCCTGGCTCGTAGCTAACGCAGTTCTCCCGTGCCGCTGCTTGGCCAGAGGGGTGTGCATGGGCTGGGGGGCACTGCCTGACTCCCTGGGGGCTCGTATCACACAACTACAACCTGTTACAGCAGGCTGCACCCACCAAGAGTCAACCTTTCAGCACCTGCAGGCAAAACCTGCACTGGATGTGTCCAACCACGCTCGTGATGGGCACAGAAGTGCAGAAGCACCCAGGTTTTTGCAGGGTGCTGCCCATAACCAATCCCCGTCTTCCAGACGGTGCTAAATCCTCTCACTGTCTCCTTCCCCCAGAACGACGGGGCTGACCTAGACCTTTATAAGTGTCACCTGTTTTTGCTGGCTTCCCTTTGCCAAACAACGCCCTGCTGGCTCCCTCCCGCTGCCTTTGGGAGTGTGGCGCTCGCCTCCCCGGCCTGGGGAGTCCTGCACAAAGCGTCCCGAGGCGGGGACAGCAGTGACAATAAGGCTGGGACCAGCCTGTCCTGACTGCAGCCTGTGGAATTGGAAGTAATTGGAAGCAGGCTCTGCCGCTCGCTGAAGCCCCCAGCGCCTCGGCTGGCCCGAGCAGGAGCCCAGGGAGGTTTTGTGGGCTGGGGAAGGAGCTGCGGCCGCAGAGCAGCCAACGCAGTGGTGCTGCTGGCTGCCAGCTGGCTGTCAGCGGCCTGCTGAGCGCTGACACGGGCTGTGCTAAGCGGGGTAATGCAGGCCTGGAGGGGCTCAAGCGGTCACGGCTTGAGATCTGACCTCGTGCCTTCACTGGTGGTTTAAGGAAGAGGCTTTAACACAGCCCCACTGGGCAGAGAATCGAGGGGTGCAGTTATACCTTTGCGTTATGCTTCACAAGGCACAGAAAATGGATGGCTCCGTCACTCTCCAAGGGATGCCCTGCAAACCCCACCACTCACTGGAGAGAAGGAATGGTCTTGTGTCCTCTGGGGACTTCCAAGAACATGGGAGGGACAGAAGCACGCTTTGCTTGCTGGAGCAGGCTTGGCAGAAGCTAATTTCAGGGCTCTGGAGTCATCCCTTGGAAGAAATCCACGTTACCTTGTGATGTTACTCACATTCCTCGCTGCTGTCACTAATAATATGTACAGGACAATGCCAGGAAACTTGGTCTGCTGTGTGACACTGCTGGGTCTGATAATTACCCCTTTCTGAGATTATTTTTTTTTTAAAGGGTCATTTTGAAGCTTCAAGCAAGCTCTTTGAAGTCTTTTACATCCAAGCCATTACCACAAGCAGTGAGCTGGGACTGGATATGCCCTGAAACCTCGCTGTCCCTTTGTCTCTCCATCTAACCCCTCCGCAGTTAGCAGCAGGCTGCTGCTGCACACCAGCTCCTGAGCCAGCCAAACCATGGCTGGGTTCTGGGAACGCTGGACTGGAATTTTTTCATGGGAAAATTAGCTGCAAATTGCCTACAAGCTGCAGATCAAAATAAAGGGGAGCATGCCAGGCAGGACACACTGCATTCGGTCACACCGACAGCTCTCGCCAGCATCTCTTGCTCAAATCTGCTCAGTTTGCTACCAAGACACCTCCTCCGGTGTGCTGCATGGCAAAGGATTGCTCTGTAGACTTCAAGAAGAAACATGCCTAAAACTTCCCAGGCTCATAAATCTGCCAGCTTCAGCACACTCCTTAAACTTTCCTGATTGCCTTTTTGGACTATTAATTTCCTACAAGTTCGGGATTCTTTTCATTTCACCCCAGACTAAGTTACAATGCTAGAGGAAGGGAACGGAGCTGGTGAAGGTGCTGACTGAGATGTGAGCCACGCCTCATGGTGGGCTCCAGCTTCTGCCTCAGAGCCACGTTTCCGTGTGCTGGTCTTGCTATTCTGGATGCTACGAGGGCAATCAGATGCTGCAGCCATAAAGACGTCTTTGAAATGAAGCTAATGGGCTGTTTGTGTTCATCTTTTATTAATTACAGGCTGCCGAGTTTGAGGGGAGATGCAGATTAATAGTGGCGTGTGCGTTACTGCTCTGGCTGGCTTGCATCTGGGGCCAACCTCCGCGCCTCCTCCCTGCCCCAGGGCACCAACAGCCCCAGGCTGCTGGCAAACCAGAGCCGTGGGCTGAGGTCTGAGGCTGGGTTAGCGGCGTTTGGCTGCGTGGGGAGAAAAGTGGAGGGGTGGAGTGCCACGCTGCAATCCCCCTTCCTCCGGGCACTTACACGTCTCCAGCCGCTCCTCGAGGAAGGAGATCTGCTCGCTCAGCGAGTCGATTCTGTCCAGTTGCTGCAGGGAGTGGGACAGCCGGCTGATGGGGTCCGCGCCGACGTCCTCGGGCTCAGATGTCACGAGGTTGTGGAAGGGGGCCAGCACCAGCTGGAGTTTCTGCGGGGAGAAGGGGAGCTGTCAGCGTGCCCTCCTTGGCCAGGAGCGGTGCTGGAGGGGCGTTTGGTTGTGTTCAAAGGGACACCGTGCTGCAAGAGCCGCTGCGAGGCTCTGCAGCAGCGTGGAGCACAGCTGGGATCCTTGCCTGATCCCTGCCTGTGTGAGGCCGGCGTGGCGTTAAAAATAGAGCAGGGGTGGAGGGAAAGCCTGGCTGCACACAGCCCGGGGTTGGAGCCGGCTGTGCACGGCCGTGGGCCATGGCAGGGAGGGGAAGGAAGGGGCAGAGGGGTGCACCGAACACCCACCTCCTCCAGCGCTTCCACTCTGCTCTTCAGGTCTTTCATTTCTTCCTTCATTTCATTGGAGGGGCCTGAAAAAATATGACCAAGAAAAGGTCGGTTAGTAAAAACCCGAAATTTACCCGAGGTGAACTGGGATGTGCTGGGCTCAGGCCAAGCACTGCTGCTTGCTGCTCCCCTCCTGCATCCCCAGGGCTCAGGAACCAGATCCAACGCCTGCTCTGAGCACGGACCTGGTGCTACTGTGAGCACGCCTCTCCTGGCTGCTGGAGTACCTAGAACAAGGTGGGGGAGCGTTTCAGGCTTCGATGCTTAAAGGACAAAATGCCCGTGTCGTCAGGAGATCAGTTAGCGGCCAGCTCTGCGCTGTCCCTCTCAGCTCAAAGGATTGTCCCTGCTGGACGTGGGACAAAGGCAGGCAGGTGGCGGGGCACGTGCCAGGGGCTGCCCTGCTCTCCCAGGTCTTGCCCTCACGATGCCAGTGCTGGCCACAGCGCATTATTACTCACGGTACGAGTTTGAAGTGTCACAGCGCGTACCAAAAGTAATAATGGGCCGTCACCAGCAGCGCCCGATGCTCCTCGTGGCTCCAGACGTGCCCTGCGAGAAGAACGACGACGATGATGACGGAGAGCACAGCCCCAGCCACTGCATGCCACAGCGGGCTCTGTCACCCTTGCAGGGGCCAAACTTGTGCACGAGGGTGTTTTTTTGGGGTCTCCTGGGTCACTGGGAATAAAGCTGATGGGTGCTGGCTGCTGTCCCCTCTCCTGTCTCTTGCCAGTCCTGCTCCAGCCACCTTGTGATGCCGAGAGGTAATCCCAGCTTGCATCAAAGGCCCCGAACAGCTGGGGCTGTGCTGCCTCAGCAGAAGGTTACCTGCTTGGCTGAAGGTTCCTGGCCCGGGGCCCAGCCCGGCGGGCTGGCACGCCTTGTGGTCAGCAGCGAGGCTGAAGCCGTCCCGGCAGGCGCAGCGGAAGCTCCCGGCCGTGTTGACGCAGAGCTGACTGCAGCTGTGGCTCCGGCTGGCACACTCGTCCACATCTGGAAGGAAAGGGGACAGCTCCGTGGGGACGGGGCTGTGGGGTGATGCTCACGGGGGACGAGGGGTGCGGATGGCGGTGCCACACGAGCAGGGTGCTGCTGCTCCCCTGCCACGGCCACGCTGATGTGATGGGACCAGGGGCACCCAGAGCGGGCTGGCATTTGTGCCAGGCACAGCTCTGGTCTCCCCAGATATGAGTCAGAAGCAAAAAGCTAAGCTCAGAAATGTCCAAATTCAGGCTGGGGTGGTCACTATCCCCGAGCAGGCGGGCGCAGGCGGCCCTGCACTGCCTCTTGCAGAGCTTGGCTCTCATCCTGGATTTACGGCCGGGGTTTTGGTTCCAGCCAGCCGTGGCGAGGAGCTATCAGCCTTTCAAGTGTGTATAAAACCCAGTAACCTCTCCTCACACGGGGGAGTTATTAAAGCTGTTCCCACAAAGCAAAATGAGCAGAGCTGCTTCCCACGCCCGGGCGAATCTCTTCTAGGCAGTGGGAAAATCCTTTTCCCCCGCGCTGGAGCCAGAGCTGTCAGCGATGCGCTCAGCCCTGCCCTGCCCAGCGTGGGTCAATGCCACACGTTCCTCCTCTGTGTTACAGGAGGGTGGAAAGCCAGGAGCCACAGCAGACATGGTTTGCACCATGCTGGTGTGCTAAGGGCTGTGGAACATTGCTGCCTCGGCTCTGCCAGATTTCCCTGCGCTCCGGCGAGAGGCTGCTCTCACGCAGGAGAGGAGCCCTTCCCCTCCACCGCCGGATATTTTTGGTTTACAGATTTAGTCTGTGCAGCAAATGGGTGTCTTAGTTTACAGCGCGAGTTTACAAAGGCTGGGAGATGGGTCACTGCAAATAGAGTCTCGGGCTGACCCCATGAGTGTGACGGCCGCTCTGCACAAGGCCTTTTGCTGGCTGCAGTCGCAGCAGAGCACAGCCTTTGCTCGTGCTGACCCAGCGTGGAGCAGCAGCAAAGAGCAAATGTGGGTACCAGGGCTGTGCTCTACCTCTGGCACCACCAGTGCTGACACAGGGAGCTCTGAGCTTCCCTGCTTTCCCGGCTGGACCAGCAGGCACGCTGCCTGGAGCAGGATGCGTAGGTGTGTGTGCGGAGAGCTCACACACAGGTTCCCCTCTGGGCTCTGGGGAGCACCAGGCTTGGTGACGAGCCACAGTGCTGCTCCCTGTCCCCACCGATGGGTCAGGAGAGCAGCGGGGTGCAGTGGGGTGCAGTGGGGTGCAGCAGTACCTGTCTGGCAGGAGAGCCCCGTCCAGCCGGGCGGGCAGGAGCAGCGGCCAGGGAAGGCGCAGTGGCCACCGTTTTGGCACGGCACCTGGCAGAGAGCTGCAAGAGAGATCAGAAACAGCGTCACTGCCAGGGCTGGGGGTCCCGAGCCCCCTCCCCTGCCACCAAAGGTGTGTGTGCACGCAGCAGCCCCGGCCGCTCAGGCAGCATCAGGCCTGGGAAATGTCTGGTGCTGAGCTCCGAGCTCTGCTGGGGGCAGATTAGCTGCGTTTGTTTTGTGCTGCACATCACAGTTTCCTCCTGAAAGCATTTCTCTTCCATTACTGCTTGATTGATATGGAAAGGACTTACTCATTTTATTTATCCTCCGGTGACCATAAAGTTAATAAACAATCCCGAAGGCAAAACTGCCTGTGAGGCAGCAGAGAAAGGATTGAAATTAATCAGAAATCGAGCCACATTTAGCTGTGCTATCGGAGGCTAAAAATGTAAACGCTTTCCTACAGGGGGAATTGGACTGGTGTCAGTAAACGAGAGAGCTGGGGCCTCGTTTGGGGACCTGAGCTACCTGGACACAAGGGATTGGGGACAGGGAAGGCGAGCACTGACCCTGGGGTGGCACAGCAGCCTCCTTACCTGTGTTGCAGCTGAGCGTGTGGCTGCTGGCTCTGCTCCAGCCAGGACAGCATGAAGCCACGTGCTGGGGCACCTGCCTGTACACCTGCCGGTAGGCAACCTTGTAGATGGTCCTGCAACACAGAAACGGGGCTGAGCTGTGGGACTGACCATCAAGGGCCACCCCGAGCCCCCCACCCTGCTCCCACACCACCCCAGGTGCTTTTTTTTTTTCCTGGGAAGGCTCCAGCTCCTGCTCACGGAAAGCAGGCAGCTGCCTCACCTGTAGGTGCTGCAGAGGCGGTGGCCCTGGCAGGTGGTGAGGTAGGGCTGGTAGACGGGCTGCACGTGGGACTCGGTGTAGGCGGCCGTGCGGCTCCGCGGCTCGGCGGCGCAGGCCCTGCGGCTGAGCAGAGAGGTCGGTGAACAGCCTGACCACCCCAAATTACCCGGGGTTATTTAAATGGCGGTGGCTCAGTGCCTGAGTGAGCCGGGAGGTGACTGCAGGCTGTTTTGGGGCAGGGAGACAACGCTGGCAGCGCTGCGGGCTGCACGGCCTCCTCCTCCTCAGCCCTCACCAAAGGCACTGACGCCCCCTCGTCCACTCACCCCTGCACTGTTCCTCTGTCCTGGACAAGTGGGGCCTAGATTTAGGGGGGGGGATTCACTCAGGGCTGTTCTCCTTTCATTCACTACCTCCCTCCCCCTAAAACCATTCAATTTTAGGTGTATTTTTTCCTCTCCGAGACTTTCTTATTTCTAAACCTGATGCCTCTGTGGTCGCCAAAAATTTAATGATTTCACAGAAAGGGTCAGGCTCAAAGCAAAAAGGTAGAGGACAGAGGAAAGTTGCTCTCTGTTCCTTCTAAGATAACTGAGATCCAGTCAAAAACTTTCCCAAGGTTAAGAGCCAAAGCGGTATCAGTTAAAGATTCTTTTTCTTCAACATTTTCCAGCCCAAGCAGGTCAGTCCCTCTGAGGAGCTTGTTTGCTTGTCTCAGCCTCCCAGCTCGATTAGAAAATTAGAACAAAAGAGTCTGGGAATTAACATGGACATCAGATGGCTTCCATTAACTCCAGAAAACTCCTCTCAGCCTCACTGGTTAATGTTACAGAAGGCACGGTTTTTAAATGGCAATTGTTTGCTTTGCAGATTTTATAATAAAGCTATAGCTGCAGTGTGTGCGTGTGAGAGAGGAATCCAGCCTGTGGGTACGGTCACGACCAGAATGTGAAAGGTTCAATGCTAGAGGAGAGTATTTCAATGTAAAAACAAACTTTGTAGAAAATGTGAGCTGAATTTGCTGAGCCCAAGCTCCTTTTGGCAGGGGAAGGAACCGGGGTGCTGAGCTCTAGGCACCCTTTGGCCCAGCAGGGAGCTGAGACGTGGTTATTGAGGTGGTGCTGGGATGGATGTAGGGCCCGTGTCAGCCCCAATTCCAGGAAAAGGGAAGGGGAATTGCTGGGGCTGCTGCTCCCAGGGGCCACAAGTGCTGCAGCAGTCCCTGGGGGTTTTAACACCCGCATCCCCTGCACGCTGCAGCCTCTTGGAGCTGGGAGATGGCAGCTGGCTTTGATGGCTCGTTTGCAAGGTTTGACTGGCATGACAGCAAGACAGCACGAGTATTTTTGTGCAAGGATGTGCTTGAAAGGGCCAATAATAATTCCTCAACAGCTCAGGGCCTCTTTAGCTTTTGACTCTCCCGGACAAAAAGCCCAGAGTGCCTTTGTGTCCCCTGCACGGGCTAAACAGAGCCAGGGCATTTTCTCTAGAGGGGTTTTTCGCTTCAGTGGCCCAGCAAACAGACCCCAGAGAGGACCTGCCGAGATGTGGCTGCCCCAGAAGGGCTCTGCGGAGCCTTTTCCCAGCTCCTGGCCAGCCCAGCAAGGTGCCCACCACCGGGTGAGGATGAGCCTGTGCTCGTGACAGCTCTGGGAGATGCAGACATAAAGGAGCTTACCCTGCCCGGGCAAAACCCTCCGTGCTGGTCGTGCTGAGGATGAAGGCGAGTCCCGAGAGGAGGCAGCTGAATCGGGGCATGTCCTGTCCCCTCCTGCTGCCTGCTGGGCTGTGCGGCACGGACCAGGTCACTCCTCGGTGGGAAGCGCTGGCTCCTACTGCATGGCTCACGCTTCAGCGGGGAACCCTGGAAGAGAGCAAAAAAAAAAAAAGGTGTGAAGCCGTGGTGCCCACACCCAGCCGATGACATCCGACAGGGCACGGCGTGGCACTGACAGCCAGGCTGGCTCTAAGGGGACAGGAATTTCCCTGTGAGGCATCCACCCAGGGTGGGATGTGGTGGCGGCACTGCCCTCGTTGGGCTGCGCAGAGGGAACCTGCATCGTTCGAAATAACACAGCCAATTCCAGGCAGCAAGGCCAAAACAATGGCCTGTAATTTCTTAATCCATACAGCATTGTGGAGCTGCATTTTCCCACCACATAACATGCTGAAATCTGATCTTCTTCTCTTTAACATACACGCTCTTGCCAGAGAAAAGTGCTTTAAGGGCCATATGTCCCGTCCGCAGAGTCAGTACTAACCAAGTTGGAAATAAAGAGGCTTTGATTTTCTAGCAGAGGACAAATTTGAAACAGGGCTGAAGGAGGTCAGTAACAATATCTAATTTACACAGTGTCTGATTTATACAAAAGAGTTGGCCTCCGGATGGCAGCAGTTAAAGGAGGAAGAAATAAAGAAACCCACCTTAAACACACGACAATTAAAGAAAGAATCATGCTTTCTGATTAAACCCTGAAAAAGGAGTTGCTTTACTGGGGTACAACACAACAAGGAGAATCCTTCTGACACCGCAGAGCTACCTGAAAGTTTTAAAATCCCCAGGTGAGGTGGGATGAGAACGGACTGGAGAGCTGCAGGTTCATCCCCAAACTTCTACGGACAATTCCTAACGCCGAGTTTTTGGGGATGATCATCCCAAAGCTGTAGACCTGTAGCTCTCCAAGTCGTTCTCCAAGGCAGGCAGCAGCATCTCTTTGTGGAAGAAGATTTATCACTGTAAAACGCAGCCCCAGGAGCTCGCTCCACCACCAAACCCGGGGCAGAAGCTGAGGACTTGGCTCCATAAGCACATTAAGGGGGTGGCAACACCACCACCCTCTGGCTGCACGGGTATCCCCGTGGGTTCAGCACCCACAGGGAGCTGCACACACCTGGGCCCAGCTTAACCAAGGTGCGAGCCTGGCTTTGAGGAGGAAAGGAGGATTTGGGGGATACGCAGCCTGCAGCCCTCCATCCTCCTACCTTTCCACCAGACTTAACAGAACTTCTCATGTTCTAACAATTAATAAATCAGGAAAGACCTGTGGGAAAGCTCTTAAAAACCAGTAAAGCAATATTTTTTTCTCCCCAGTCCTCCTGGAGACGTCCCAGGGACACTGGTGTATAAGGACGGACTCAATCCCTGCTGCTCAGACAGGGGCTTTCCCCAGAGCTATACTGGGACGCATTTTCCCCACAGGCACAGATCCGGGGACAGAAGGATCTACTCCAGAAGCCTCCAAGTCAAGCCCTGCCAACCCTCGCAGGCCTCCCACAGAATTCCTGCAGCCACCAGAGGAGCTTTCCCTGTGGGGAAGGGCAGAAACGCAGGGCACGAGCCGAAAATCCAGACGGATGGTTTTTTCTCTTTGAACTGGGGCAGCGCTGCCCTACCTCAAGTGGTCTGAGCATCCCCTCGGGACATCAAATCCTGGTTGCTTAATATCAGATGAAGTTTTGAAAGCGAAAGATATTTTAGCCTGTGCTTGTCTCTTTGATGAGCTTACGAAAATTGTGAAAATCGGCCTCTTGATAGCTGCAGAAGATCCTCCAACCTGTTGCCTCTATCTCCTAGAATTCCTTTTTTAAAGCACATGATTTAAGGAAAAGCTTTTCAGGTTTGAGGAAAAAAAAAAAAAAAGAAGAAAGAAAAAAAAAAGCCTATTTTCAGTTTCTTTATCATTTCTTGGATGTTGAGCTGAAGCCCCACGGCTTGGCAAGTGAAACTACGAAGGTGCATCTGAGCTTCTGCTGGTTTAGGGGGCAGCAAAGGCTCCTCGGCCAGCCCTGTGCTCTGTGGGTCCTTCTCCAGCAGCCGGAAACATCCCCATTTCGCTTCCAAGCCCTCTCTCTAACTCACAGCAGGACCCAAGGGGAAAATACAACCCCAGAAGCAGGTGAGCAGCGGGAAAACGCTCACCCAAGGCAGGCGAGCGGCACCTCGCCCTGCTCTGCCACCAAAAACCCAGGCTGAAAGCTCCAGGTGATGCCAGCAGCACGAACCGGGGGCTGCCTCCAGAAGTGATGCCAGAGGCTGCAGCCCCTCCGAGGGATGCGATTCCCCCCGAGCTGCATTTCTGCCATCAGCGTGGCCCGATTTTGGAGGTGAGCCCGCATCTCGCAGCCCTGCAGCTCGGTGCCCAGGCCTTTGGGGAGGGTCGGGAGCAGCAGTAGGGGCGCAGCTTTCCCCCCCCATCCGACCCCTTCCAGCCCCTCTCCTGGGTCGAGGAGCAGGGGCAGGGGGATGGATGCTGCTCGGCAGCGCGGAGCTGAGCGCAGGGACCTGGGGACCGGGGGTGGGGGGCACCCGGGATGCGGGGACCCCCTGTAGGGTGCCAGCACCCCCCACAGGGTGCCAGCACCCCCCATAGGGTGCCAGCACCCACTGCAGGGTGCCCCTCTCCCCCCGGGGCACGACGCCCCCTTGCCCCAGCCCCCCCCAGCCCCTCTCCCCTCCCCTTTTACCCCCCTTTTACCCCCTCCCCACGCCTTCCCCTTCTCCCCCCGAGGATGCGGACCCCCCCCAGCAATGCCGAGCCCCCCGGGGGGAGCTCCGCAGCCTCCGGGACTCACCGGTGGCGGTGGCGGAGCCGCGGAGTCGCCTCCTCGCCGCGGCCCCCCCCCGGCGTTTCCTTCCCCCCCCCACCCCCAAGCCCCAGCCGGTCCCTCCGCCCCGGCCGAATGAGCAGGAAAAGCGGAGCCTCCCGGAGAAAGAGGGGGGGGGGAAGCGCCGGGACACGGGGGGGAGCCGCCTGCCCCCGCCCCGATGTGTCCCCCCCCTCCCCAAAACCTCCGGACCCCCCCCCTGCTGGCTGCCAGAAGCCCCCCGGGGTGGGGGATGCGCAGGGACCGGGCAGAGCCTGGCAAAGGGGGGGGGGGGGGGACACGGTGACAAGTGCCAGGGGTCCCCGGGGGGGTCCTGACCCTTTTGGGGGGGCTGCCGGGGCTGTCAGGGGGCTGTGCTGGTGGCCGGGCTTACCTGCAGGGTGTCCATACAGCCCCCAAGGGCATCAGGGGGGCAAGGTCCCGGCCCCCTCCCCACACACCAGCTCCCCTGGGTGGGCAGCGGGTTCAGGGTAAGAGAGGAAGACCCCAGCATAGCCCCCATCCCCTTAAAAGCTTCCTGAAGCCGTCCATCACCAGTGCGAATTTATTTCTCTTTCCCTAAAAAAGGCTGCACGTGGCTCTGCCCCCCCCGACACCCAACGGCTGTGGGGTCCCACCGTGCCCCTTTAATCCCCCCGGACTCCTCACAAAACTCCTCACAAAACTCCTCACACCACCAAAAGTCCTGCAGGAGCAGGCAACGGGCTGCCAGGACGGGGAGGCTGCTTTTCGGCCAGCCCTAAAGGATGCTCAGGAGGGTTCCTGGGACTCCCTGGGGCAGATGCGGCAGGTTTTGGGTGTGAAATGCCCGCTTATTTACCAAAGCAAACCCTGCGCTTCGCTTCGTGCCAAAGTGCCACTTGTTTGGTCTATTTCCTCGGGAAATTAGAGCACGGAGGTTTATTGTTTTTCAAAGGACTGAGGCGCCTGGAGCCAGCCTTCAAGATAGCAGGGGCCTGATGTGTGGCTGAGTGGCAGGATACACCCCCCCGGGAACAGTTGTTCCCATTAAGCTTTGCAATTTATTATTTTTTTTTTTTTAATGAAACCATGTAGGCATTTAAAGGAAATGTTTACCAGTTAAACAGTAATGGCTCCAAAAGAGCAGCCGGGGTCACTGCCCCGTCCCCTCTATTTCCCCGTGGATGCTCAGATTGCCTCGGAGCTGCCCTGGGTCACGTTGTGCCCCCCAGGAAAGCCTGGGCGTGCTGCTGGGGGGCTCTCAGGTGGGCTCGTGTAACAGGAGCATGACTGCTTTGGTCAGGCCCTCTTTAGGGAAGAGAAAAGTGCAGATGGGAAGCAGCTCTGGGACGTGCTTGTGGAGAAAAAGCTTCACCACGAGGCAGGACGGAGCGTGCTGGGGACGGGATCCCTCCCGCAGCCAGGCACAGGATCCCTGACGCCGGTGGGAGCACGGCTCCGCGTTACACCTTAGGCTGCACGAGCAGGAAACAGGAGGGTTTGCTCGCCCCGCCTGGATCCAGCAAACCTCTGGGGGCTGATTTCAGCTCACGTAATCTCATCAGCGCAAAGCACAGGCAACTTTTCCCTAGAGCCTCAAAGGGACGGTAATTATCTTATTATGCAGAGAGCACCACTGTTGTTTTTTTTTCTGGTTTATGGGGAGATGAACAGTGCCTGATAGTCAGCTTGTCTAATAGTTGCAAAACATCTTTGGAAGCTGGTGGGAAGCTTCTCCATCTGACCATACTGAAATACACCTAATTTCGCGACCGAGGCGCTCACCTTATCCGTGGTGCTCTGTCATCTGTCCCGAGCGGGGATCCTTTCCTGAAGCAGCATCTTGGCTTCTTACTGTCAGGACAGAAAGAAAAAAATTGTGGTTACACTCTCTGTGTCCTGCGGGAAGGTATCGGGGATCCAGCTCTTATCCATGGGGGACCCGGAGCTCCTTGAGGATTGGCGTGAGCACAGGATCGTGGCTGCAGAGCGCCCGTGTCTGGCATCAGCCCTGAGGCTTGCTGGTGTGCTGGAGAGGCACGGACACAGCATTCATGGTGGAAGGGTGCCAGGAGGGCCATCTCGTCCCTCCTGAGCAGTACAGCTGGGCAGCGGGGGCTTTAGGAGCATCCAGCAGGGCCTTGCAGTGGGGTCACACTGCTGTGAGCCTGGTGGGAAAGGCTGGGCAGACCCCCAGTGCCCTTGTACCCTTTGGGATAGAGCAGACAGGGACATGAGCGAGGGCAGAGCACAGCAGGACTGCCTAAAAGGCAGCGCCAGGGCTTCACTAAACACTGAGCTCTCCCCTCTCAGCAGTTTCCCTGCTGCACAAGGCTGGGATTTTGCAAGAACCCCCTAGATCAGGTGCCCCACCTCTCCGGGGTGCCCCATCCCTGCTGACACAGCCCGGCTGTACCAAAATTCCCTCCTGCTCGCTTATGATCCCACCCGCTGCAGCCCAACACGGTATTTTGCCACCTGCAACACTTGCAGACGTTGATTTAGGGACTAAGCTCCCTCAATCCCCAGGCAACTTTTGCACGAGTCCCCAGGGATGGCGAGAAAGGGGATGGACCCGTTCCCTCACGGCACGCAGCCTTCAGCTCCTCGTGGGACATCAGCACGTTGCAGGGCTAAGCACAACACCTCCAAGGCCTTTGTGAGCGCCCTTTCAGCCATCCCACAATAATTCCCGGAGTGCACTGCAGCGATTTGAAATTTCTGCAATTATTTGAATTGCAAAATGTTTGCTTTTCAGCTCCATTGGCTTGGCCAAATCTTTGCGCAAGCAAGGGCCCGTGTTATCTGCTTAAGAACTGCGTATAGCACATTAAAAGAGCATTTAATCCTCTGCTCAGAGGGAGGATTCAGTGTCTTGTATGCTAATATTCATTATGCCGGGAGGAAATCCCCCAGGATACAGCCTGGCAAAGTTCCCTTGGAGGCAGTGGAGGTATGCCAGTTGGGCGCAGGGGCAGATCAGATCTGTTGGCTCTGTTAATACAGGTGTGATGAGCCTCTGACAGTGGCAGTAAGGGATTTTGGCTCCCGACTGAGAGTCTGGCTGAATTTGAAGTCCTCCCTGGGCTGGCATTTTCCCTGCTTCCTCTGAAGCTTTCTCCCTTGCACTTCAGAAGCGTACTCCCACGACATCTAATATTAATGCTTGTCTCCAGGCCAAGAAAGAAATGTTTCTGCACAACCTCCCTCTCAGATTGAACAACGTTCAATCTCCTGGTCTCCCACTGGTTTTACCACCAGCGTGTACTACGAGCTAAACCGAGCCTCACCCAGGGAAGGTCTCAAACCATCCACCAGGCGGGCTTTGAAGGTGAAAACACCACAGCCCCCAAATCCGACCGTCCCGTGGGGCACCAAGGGCTCCCAGTGCAGGAGGAGAGCTTGGGGGACATGAAAGTGTCTGCAGCAGGGGCTCTGTCGGCACGAAAAAGGAATGATTAACGGAGGAGACCTAATAAGAGACCAGCACTAAGGTCCCACAGCAGGATCTGCTCCTCGAGGGGAGTGCTCACAGCCCTTTGCACCAGCCGGGATGCGCCCACGTACGGGAGAGCTTCCCAAAACGGGGGCCGGAGGTGCTGAGGTGGCAGCTGGAGGTGGATGGATGGGGACACGGACAGAAGAGTGACACACATACAGATGCAAAACCTCTCAGCTGCTCCAAACCGGGGCTGGCTGCATACCTGCTGTGCACAATGGTCTCTCGCTGGCCTCCACGGGGGTCTGGCACAGAACCGGGAGTGCTTGTGAAAGAAATAGGAATTTTCGGTGATTCAAAAAAAAAAGGGGGGGGTCTGCTTTTCCTGGTTTAGGACAAATTCTCCTTCTCGGGCTTTTCGTAAGGCTGTCTGCAAACTTTACACTAAAGTTTAGGCTTTGGAGCAGCCCCTGTTCTGCAGAACTCTGCGAGGAAAAAGACCTCCCACTATTCTATTATGTTCCATATTGTTCTCCATTGCGTCAGCTGCAGAGCAGTTATCTCAGTGGAAATCTAGAGGCGTCCATTGATGTCAGTGGGATCAAAGCAGGTCAAACCAAGAAAAGTACTTGGCCCATAGCACTGGGTCTCTCACCACCAGTTGCCTCTGCTATGCGTATTATGACCCAGATCTCATTCCCACAAAGCGATTTTTTTTCTCTGAGTAAGGACTCCTCAAGCAGGACCATGTTATAAATCGAGTCTGCGACAGGGACATACGGCAGCCTGCAACTGTGTCAAAAAACAAAGGTGTGAACAGGACAGCATCCTGCAGCCACGTTTATTTTCTTTTCGTACACACAGTTCTTATATACATTTAGGGGAGGCAGTAACGGCTGCTGTATACAAACTGGAAATGATTCATCTCACTCAGGAATAAACTGAATTTTGCTGCTTTCTGTGAAATTTCCCTGGCCAAAAAAAAAAGTAGTGTTAGTCAGTGGGGAATGGTTCCCGCCCTGCCTTTCCCTTCTGCGTTTTTCCAGTGAATCACTCCCCAGGGAGCGCACGGAAAGTGCAGTGGGAACGGCTGGGAGTTGCATGCATGGCTCAGCTGGTCTCTTAATCACAGCCATGCCAGCAAGAGCATTCAGCACAAGACTGTTTTTTTTTATTATTATTTTTTTTTTCCTCTAATTATCCTTCAGTATCAGGAGAAAGTCTCCAGTTCCAGAAATCTGCACTAAGCGGAGCTCCTCTTTGCCATCACCTCCCCAGCAGACAAGGAAACCCAGGGTTTGCTTTGGGAGAGGGGACAGAGAATTAAATAACGTATTTTTATTCCCCTCTTCTGTTTGCAAAGACCCCTTCCTTTTCCTTCGCTGTCTGGTCTGAAAGCTCAAGTTAAATCTTCCCTTGTGTTTCAGCATGTCCTTCTGCTGCTGGTGTGACTGTGAGTCAGGTTCGTTTACTCTAATTTGTTGCAGTTTGTAAATCTATCTCCCCAGAGCCAGCCCCATCTGCAGCAGCAGAGTCTGGGAAGTGGCTCAAATAATCCTGCATCCCAGATTCAATTTCTCTTCCTTACCTCTAGGGAAAGTTGTACAGAGCTGATAGTTTAGCAGCATAGAGAGGAACTAACTCAATCCCCGGAATTAATTCTTGATCACAGGGAACAGCATCCAGAGGGCAGGCTGGGGGGTTTCTGTACGCACCGCTAACCCCACTGATACCCAGAGAGGTGCATTTGCAGGGGAGGCTCAGGATCCAGCCACCGCATCTGGGCTTCAGTCTTACACCTCCCAGGCAGTGCCAACCCACTTTCACATTAGTTTTATCATTTACAAAACCTTATTATTTCTTCTGTGAACATCAGGCCCTCTGAAAAAGTATACCTAATTATTTCTGTCAAGAATATTCATTGGCTTGGTCCTGCCCTGCATGCTCCTAATGCACAGCCCACTTTTTATCCCCAAATACCCCCGGTGAGCCACTGAAAGCCTGCTCCCTGCATTGTGTAATGCCACAGATCAGTAGGGCAGGACGCACAGGTCTGCAGGTAGCTGAAAAAAACCTGTATGCAAAACACCCACGGTTATAAATTAAGAGGCTTTGCTGAGCTCCTAGCAGGCAAACCACAGCACGCTCCGGGCTCGCAGTTATCCAGCACCAGCCTCAGCAAGGCCAGTCCCTGCCCTGAGCTTTGTCCAGCCCTGTGTCCTGCCTGTCCCCAAGGGCTGAGCTCTGCCACTGCCACCCGAAATAGGCAGCACAGCAGCAGCAGCAGCATGGCCCGGGGTCCCACTGCCGCCGGCTGTGCGGGGGGAATGGGCGCAGGTGGCAGGGCGCGGGTGCAAGGATGAACAACGTGGGGTTACTGCAGAGGCACTCGAAGAGACAGACAGATGCAAAAAGAGGAGGAATGACGGAACGAAAGGCGGTTTGCTAGGAATTTCCAGCTGTCTTATATACGTATCTTTGCGTGCACAGGCGTTGCAGCCTTCCTCTGCATGCGCAAGGGCTAAAATAAACCCTCTGTCCAGCAGCCAGGACTCTTCTGTTCCTGGAAAACAGCCTAAGCACTAGTGGAGTGAATTAAAATAATAGTGCTACGGGCTGGGCTCAGCTCTGAGCAAACCAGCACCGGAGCCATCAGGCAGCTGGCAGCGGGGCAGCCGAGGGATGCTTCGCAAACCTGTTTGCTCGGCAGCGCTTCGTCATTTCTGCATCCTTGCCCTCAAAACCCCACCGCAGCCTGACAAGCACAACCCCTCCACCCCATCCCGTCGCAGTCTGTCCCCTCGGTGGCGATGGCCATGTCTCGTACCGTACCTGCGGCGCCCCGCTGTCCCCCGCCGTGCTGGGACCGTCCCTGTCACCGCTCTGCCCCGTGGCTGCCAGCCGCCATCCCCGCATGGCCGCCCTGGGCCAGGGCCCGGCTGCCCGCCTCGCGCCCCCCGCATGGCCGGCCGCCGGCCGCGCACAGGCAGGAGGTGACTGCTGAGGTGGAAGGGTGGCTTTTTATGCTTTTCTTCCTGTATAAATCAGGCCGGGGATGGACAATCCCAGACAGGACTTCCTGTGTGTGTTGTGCGCTGATAACGGGCGCTGCGAGGAGAACAAACACGGCTGCCGCATGCCCGGAGGGGAGAGGGGCTGTGGGGCGGCACCCCCACCCCGTGCCTGCCAGGCCCCAAGATGGAGGGGACACAGCTGGCTGCCATCAGGGCCATGTGGAAGGACAGGCGGCCAAGGAGGAGGCACTGCCCGCCCGCCTGGGCTCCCACCTGCACCGCACAACAGCCCTAAAATGGCTGCTGCCCCCACCCTCCCGCCTTGCACCCCTTGGTGCACATCTCAGCCACAGCCTCCTTGCATCCCCCTTCAAAGGGGGCTGGTGGGGACCCCCACTGCGGTGGGGCTGCCCTCACAACCCGTGACAAACATGGCGGGGCCGACTGCCATCTTCTTGTCAGGGGGCCATGTCGGTGTGGGGTGCTAGCACAGGGTTTAGGACGCCCCAAAATTTAGGTTGCACCTCAGCAGTCAGTCAGTTTGTTGGTTTGCTTGTCACCCTCGTCACAGCACTGTCCCTGCCTTGGAGGCGAGTGAGGCACAGGGCCATTTGGGCTACCAAACCCGCTGGAAATCACCCAGCAAAGATGGCCTCTTCAGCAGAGAGGAGCGCAGAAAAAACTGCTGCAGCTCCCTCATTTTGAAGGCCATTTTGGAGCAAAGCTTACTGCCATTTCCACTTAAGTGCGTCTTTATACGTGACCTTGGTTCAAAGGAGGAATAGCATGCTTTTTAATCAGAATTTGAAACCTTGATCTGCTGCTGGCCACCAGACCCGTGTTAGAGCCCACGTCCATCCCGCTGGCATAGGGCAGCCCCAGGACCCCAGCCCTTGCTGCACCGCATCCTCCCGGCCCCGGCAGCACAGCACACTTGTGCGCAGGCTTACAATAAGCCGAGGATGACTCCCACCCTGATTCAGCAAAATGCTCCTCTGGGCAAGTCCCCTGAGGCTCGCAAAATATTCCCATGTTTATTTATATAAACGCATGGCTAAAGAAAGACCCCACTTGTTTTCCTTGGCACGAAGGGTTTTTCGAGGGCTGTTTTCTGCCTCCCATCGTTGTTCTTTTTCCAGCAATAGGTGATTTTACACCGCGGGTTGCTTCCCGCCAGCATTGCCAGCCGAAGGACTCCACGGGAGCAGTTCTAGCCACCGTGTGCTTGTGCTCAGCTGTGCACGAAACACCGCGTGTGTGTGTGTGCAGGGAGGGTGTATCTCAACCTCTTCTCCTGCAGGTTTTCAAGCTCTCTATGGAGTTATAGGGCTTGCACGGATGGCTTGCACTGCCTGCAAGAAGAGGCAGCACTGGAAACTGAGGGACACTGAAAACTGAGGGCCAGAGCTGGTGGCTTTCTCAGCCCCACAAGCCACAGAGCCTTCCCAAAGCCCCCAGCACCCCCACGATCCTCCCCACTCCTCCAGACCAAAGCCCCTGAACTCTGGGGACAGCTCGAGACCCAAATCCTACCACTTGCAGCAACCACCGCCTGGCCCCAAGCCATCTTTCCTGTGTCCTCTGCCCCGGCACAGGTCACGGTGCATCCCTGGGACGTCGGCCGCCCACACCGCCACGCGCAGGATGGCTTTGGGCTCAGCGGCGGAGCTGCAGGAGCGGGATGGGATGTGTGGAAAAAGTTTCCTGTTTATCCAGCCTGCAGTGTCTGCAGCAGTAGCTGCTGGGGTGGGAAGTGGTCAGAGGGGGCCACACAAACGGGTTTTAAATTTGAAATTTGCCCATGGCCCACCTCTATCCGCACGTCTCAATGTCCCCAGAGCTGCTGCTGGTGTCCCCCAGCACACACAAGCTCCTGACAGCCGCCCCAAGCCATGGCACGGTGACATTTTGGGTAGTCCCGACGGCGAGGTGGTGCTGGGACCCACCACGGGCCGAGCATGGGATAAGGGATACGAGCATGGGATAAAGGATACGCAGGCAGACAAAGCCAGGACACGTGCTTCTCCAAAAGCCCTGCGGCATTCAGGGCCTGTCAGGCGTGAATGGAGTAGGGGGATGGAGGGACTTCAGGCTCCTCATTAGCACCAGCCAATTAGCGTGGCATGCTGCTCTCCTGTCAGCTGATGGGGCTGCAGTTGAATACCCCCTGCCCACGCTGATCCCTCAAATTTGAGGCCGTGTTGGTTTTGTGGTCGGTTTTCTCCCACCTGTTTAATTGCAGGAACGTTGCCCCTCATTGTGTCTTTTCCCTCTGTGTCTCAGCCTGTTCTTGAGAAACTAAATCTGCTTGGTTTATTTGATGGGCACTTTTGGGGCTGTTTGCTAGCATGGAGCAGGTAGCTGTGACGCTGCAAGCTACTGTCGGAGAAAATGTTGTCATGCAGCAGCACGTGACACTTTAATAAAATCAATTACTAAGCAAAATCAGGTGGCAAAATCTCCACCTTCGCTTTGCACAGCTTTTTGCATCACAGCGGGTTTGGGACAGCCCAGCTGTTTTAGTGCAGCAGGACAGGGGCACCGCAGAGCTGGCCCTGACCCGGGGTGGGTTCAGGAGCACAGCATCAGATGTTTACAGGCTGGAGCCGCTCCAAATCCTTGAGTGACAGCTGCTTCTTCCCCATGGAAAAACTATTTTACCATCCCTTGTCTGTTTTCTCAACTGTGGATAATGAAAGCGCCAGTCCCGACGCATGGATGTTATGCTATTTACCCGACTAACACCCATGAACTGCTTTTATATTCCTGCACGAAACCTGCTGCACGAATTTAACTCCTAATTGCAGATGTTGCGAGCTGCCGCGGGATTTAATTTGCTTCTCAGCAGAATCAGATGCTCACTCGAGCCTGAAAGAGTAAGAGGAAACGGTATTGCAAACCCGAACATCTTCAGGGAGCAGAGGAAGAAAAGCAAAACCTTTGGCTGCTCATCCCATCCTGAGCCCCATTTGCCCTACCCATGCTGGAACAACCTCACAATCTCTCTGGGTGCTACAAGGGCATTAATGGGAGCCGTGGGGGCCTGGCACCAGGTGCCAGCACTGCTTTGCATCCTGCCCACGCCATGGCCAAATTCTCAGTGCCCCCAGTGCTGGGTAAGGCCCCCAGCAGCCAGATTTCAGCAGCGGGGACTTGTGCTCCACCATCCCCTGGCTGAGCTGCACCTCAGCCTTCTCCTCCCTTGCGGTGACGTTTCTTGCAAGGCACCCTGTGGGTTGGGATGAAAGCCACCCCCAGGTTTTGCATGCTCAGACTCCGTGATCCCCTGGGGCACCTCCAAACGCCTCTCATCTGCCCCCCAGCTGGTCCCCGGGGTGCAGACACGGGTGAAGCTGACACGAGTGACTCCAGCCCAGAGTTTATGCTGTGCCTCGTGTGCTGGGGCAGGACCGAGGAGTTTCGAGGGTGCCATGGGAATACCACTGCGGTGCAGACGTAATTAATCAAGGTCAGGGATTGCATTCTTCGTTAGCACTTCTTGCCACGCGGGAGAGCCTCGGGAGGCCGGCAGACGACCGCAGCCTTGCTGGAAAACACATTTGTCTTCTCCTGGTGAAAATTTTGTATGAAAAGAAATTTTATCCACGTTTCGCATCTTAGAAAGTGCCATCTCTGAGAAATCTGAGTTCAGGAAAAGGTCCCTGGAAACGATCAAAGTCCCGCAGCTCAAAAACTGAGCCTTAGGGCCCAGAAGTTGGAACGATCAACTGAAATTGCACTTTTCCCACAGAAATTTCCCTACTGGTTAAAAAAGCATTATCGTTAAGGCAAAACCTCCCCAGTTAAGTATTTGGGGAGGCAATGAGCAGGGGCACTCAGTGGCTGGTTTGGGATGGGATCGGGGTGACTGGGCAGATGAGGCAGGGCCAGCTCATCGGTCTCTGCCTGCAGAGAGGTTTTGGGGTCACTGCCATCATGAGCACAGCGAGCCCCCAGCTGGGCAGGGAGAAATGGCAGCGGGGAAGGGTCTTCGGGGAGTATTTGTTCCCTCAGCTCTTTGATTATTAGTCTTTTAAAAAAATATATTCATAAAAAGAGTTAAAGAAAAGACGCTTTGGGATAGCTGCCCCTCCTGAAGCCTTCCCCTGATGTTTCAGCTCGTTTGCATGCCTCTAGGTTTTTTATCTTACACTAAATGCTTATTTTCTCTCTGACAGTGGGAGACAGAAGGGCTCCTGACATCCAGCAGCTGGGAAGCGCCTTGCTGCATCCTCCAGGGATGGACGGATCCTCTGTGGACACTGCCAGGACCAGAAAACACCTCTGATTGCTGGCTCTCTTCCCCGGGAGAAGCCAGCATTGGGCCAAGAGCTCCTCTTTGCTCATTGCTCATGGAAGCCTCTGGTTTTGGCAAAAGACATTGCTCAAGGTGTGCTGACACCCCTCTGACCTCCTCAGGTTGCGCCCATTGGTACTAGCTGCTCATTAACACCAAAGGCTAATTCCCACCCATTTTTTAATTAGATATTCAACGCTGCGTTGCACAAGGAGCTGGTCAGGTTGTTGCGCAGAAGAGGGGCAGGTTCTGTGCACCACAAACACGGAGCTGAGCAAAGGCAGAGGCTCCCCGTGTGAGCAACAGCCCCTGGCCAGGGAAGCGTTTCCATCGTGGGCAAGGTTTTCAGCATGCCTGGAGCTCCTCACATGCTCCTGTGCTGCATCAGAGGCGCGGGGAGAGCTCAGCACCACCCTGTGTGTCATCAAGGTCAGCCTTTGAAAGGGGAGGTTGCCATGCCACAGATTTCTCCAGTAAAGGGCTCCCCAGAAGGGCCATCCCCTGTGTGCCTGCTTGCCAAAGCCCATAAATCATCCCCAGCAGAGCTAAGACTGGCATCGAGCATCAGCCAGGCCTTACCGTAATGCACCACTGATATCCGTGCCTTCCTGAGCTGGAGCCACCCCGAGATGCTCCTGGAACGCTCCCAGGTTTGTGGCTGCCAAGGACTGTGTGTGTGCTGGTTACCAAAAGAGCAGTGTGTGGATTCCCAGGAATAATCCCTTCTTGGCAGGCTTCGTCTGCTGTGAGCCCCGTGGGCTCCCCCCTTGCTCCCCACATCTCTGCTCAGGGTTCAAGGGAAGCTGTTCAGGGAGAGGAAGAAACTGAGAGAGACAGGGAGCAGAGGGTGACTCTTGTACACGTTGGTGCCCCTCGCACAGGTATCAAACCAGGACCAGGGGACAAGCACATCCCGCAGCACCGAGGTGCCACCAGGACCCCAGGGTGCCCGAGCCCATCGGGGCCGTGGCCTGTGCCTTGCTGCTGCTGTGACAACATCGAGGACAGAGGCAGGAAAAAGCCCAGAGCCTCTCTTTTGCTAAGCCAGCTTGGTAAAGGGCTCCCTTATCTTCTCTTTGGTGTGAGATAAGGTTTCAGTGCTGCCAGAGCAGCTCTGTATCTCGCAGATACCTCCCCGTGCTGCGGTGGGTGTCAGGCCTTCAGAAAATATTTGGGTAAGACCTGTATCTTTTTGAAACCCGTGTGCAATGGAAAGACACACAGGGTGGATCAGATCGACGCTGCGTGGTTTTCGGTGTCTTGTTGTTCGATGTGAGGACAAAATGGGGTTCCTCAGCTGGAAGGGCCTCTCACTGCAGGTCCCTACACAGCTGCAGAGGGAACGGGGACACGAGTGTCCTGGCTCCCTGCTGGGCTGGGAAAGCTGGGCGCTCTCCCCCTTGCTTCAAAGCCTTGGCGATACGTGGCCCTTTGAGAGCTGATCCAGATAAATGTTTGTTTTAGTGACCCAGTGAGAGCTGTATCCTATTACAACAAGCCACTTTCCTGAACAGCCCTGACATACGGGCATGTTTGAACAGCAATCATAATAGCAAAATAATTTGTGTCTCTCCAGGGTGATTTAGTGAGCCGGGAGCCTGCTCTTCCCTTGGTGCTCTGCTGTTCCCTACAGGGGACCTGACTAAATAGGTTTGGGAATACCTTCAGAGGCAATTTATTTCTATGAAATCCTTGTGTAACATCGCAAGGAATGACTGGGAGGAAAAGGCTTGTCGTGAGAGCAGAGGACACGGAGTCAAAGCCATCCCCTTGCAGGTCTGACCAAAGATCTGGGTGCTGCACCAGAGGCATCAGCCACATGAGATTTGGGTGGTGCAGGGGCTGGACCCTCCTGATGCCCAAAACCCTCACCCTGGTTCACACATGGCTAGCTTCAGCAGTCACCAAAAGGGGAAACGTTGCTCTCTCACCACAGCAAAGCTCTTTCCATGTCACAAAATGGTGCTGGATCCTGCAGGGCACCTTCTTCTGGGCTGCTCCGTCCTCCGCCAAAGTCCCGAGGGCCACGAACCCTACTCCCCCCGCCTTTCCCAGTGACTTTCCCCGATCTTTCCAGACAACAATGATTGAAACATTAAAGCTACCTCATCGCAGAACAAAACCCTTGCAACTGATTAAAATTTTTCTGTGTTAAAAATACCTGGTGTATTGAAAATCGCACTCCAAAGGCCAGTTCTGATCTCATTCGTGTGGGACTACGGCCAGGCGAGGTCTCCGTGGGGAAGTCCTGAGGAATGGACAGGCCTTAAACCAACGGTGGTCTGCAGAAGTTATAAAGATAAATACCATGTACCCGTATAGAACTCGATCTCTTTTTTTATAAAATTAATGAAATGTGTAAGAGAAGCTGCCTCCCTGTTAGTGGATCTAATACCTTGGCTTGGAAGTCCTCCCCAGGAAACATAGATGTCTTTCTGCTGACTTCACTGGATGTCAGCAACATAATAGAGAAGTGGAATTCAGCCTAAAAGCCAGACAGTGAATGCAGAAGTCAAGACTTCGGGAAAAGATATAAAAAAAGAACTGTTGATATGCCTCTTCTCCGACACGTCCCGTCCTATCAAAATGGCCACTGCCTTTATTTTGTTTAATCACTTATCTCCACGGAGGGAAGAGGAAATTCCCAAGAACGCATGATCGTTAAAAATATTAGCCAGGCCTGGTGATTATTTTTGGTAGCTGAAAACTTCCTGGCCGAAGGGTTTGGGTTTGCATTGGACTCCAGCGAATGTTTTAGAGCAACTTTCATAAATACCCATTATGCTCGCATCGCCGTGCAGTTTACAATTCAGCTGGGAAGGGCGGGTGTGTGTTTCTCTTTCTTTGTTTTGCGGTGCAGCATGGTAAAGTGCACAGCGCTCGGCCGAATTAGGGCTTAGCTATTTTCTTGTATCCTTAAATAAAGGACCGGTTCACACAGTCCGAAATCTCTGTTTCCTTTCTGGCAGGAAACAGGAAGTGAATGCAAGGGGCAGATTTGGAGTTTGCTTGCAAGAACAATTGAACTCCCATCCAGAGGGGAAGGGGATCTGCGTCAAGAGGAATTCACTTTTTTTTTTTTTTTTTATTCCTTTTTTTTTTTTTTTTTTTTTCTGGAAGGGAAGAGAAAATGACCTTTAGTTGAAAAGGCTGAAAGAATAAAGGTCTGAGCAGCCGGGGCTGCCTGCACAAATAGAGCCATAAAGGCCTGCTCCTGGCAAAGGGCTCCGGCCATCCCGCGGGCGGCGGGGTCCCACTGCAGGCAGCGCGCCGCTCGCTGCCCTATTAGTTATCCTGGGTGAAGGGCGTCACCGAGACCTGTCACCAGTTCCTGCTTACAAGGGACAGTCCCTTTTTTTTTTTCCTTTTTTTTTTTTTTTTTTAATTAATATTTACTATATTTCTCTCCTGTCCCTCCCCAGCACTGCCAGGAAGAGATTTAGTGGATGGGATTGAGTGGAGTTCCTCTTGTTTCTCCCCAAACCCTACTTGTAGCCGTCCCCACGAGCAGGTAGGGCTCCAGCTCAGCCTGTTTGGTGGTCAGGACCTCGCAGTGGCCCCACCAAACCTTGTCCCCTTCCAGTCAGCCACAAAACCTCCCCAAGCATCCCTGGGAAGAGGACGTGAGCTGAGGCCCGCAGGGTTTGACTAAGTGTCCAAACATTATCTCTGTGGGCTTATCTCTGAGTCCTGCCCATTTTCATCCTCACCACTTCAGTGGGCCCTGGGTAATTTTCTCTGTGTTTTTTTGTTTTTCGTTTTTTTTTTCATGCAAGCCAAATTCCCAAGGAAGATGCAGAGCTGGAGAATCCAGTAGTTGAGACCTTGAAATGTACCTAAGCATACATTATCCAAGGGCACAAAACACTTCTGTATATTTGAGGCAATCAGCCCTGGAGCTGGTGGAGGTGAGTGCCACGACCCCTGTGCCACCCAGCATCTTGATAGAGCAGCCCTAGGAAAAAGCTTCATCTCGTAACTTCTCACAGCATCGCCCTACCAAGTCACAAGTAGCAAACAGGGGCCAAGGGGTTCCCTGGAGCAGTTTTGCTCCCCTCCAAGCAAAACATTTATCCAGAAGGTGCAGCGACAGCTGGGCAATGTCAGCAGCAAATGTCAGTGGGTGGCAGGAGGAGAGAAACTCATGAGACAAAAGGGGCTGAGTTTCTCCCAGGAGGGGCTCCCCTGCAATCACAGGAAGGATGAATGTGGGCTGATGCTCGAACACGTTATTTTATGCTCCCTTGTTGCCTCCGTGATGGTTTTGTCACTAATTGTGGCCGGAGCCAGCCCGCCCAGGGGCTCACTGGGCTGCAGCAATGCCTCCAGGCACGGCGGGGCAGGCGCAGAGCCCCCGGCAGCTGGAGCTGAGCTCGGATGAAATCACCTCTGGTACTAAAGCTGCAATTCTCCCAACGCACCTTGGCAGCCTTCCACTTTTCTTCTCCAAAGCTGTCCAGGCGAAACGCATGCAGCTGGAGGGATGCCCCCGCCAGCGTGCGGAGGGATAACAGCACAGCTGGGCGAGAGCCAGGGGAACAAGCACAATCGGTGCTGAGAGGGTCGGGCATCAGCTCTGCTAGGGTCAGACATCCACAGAGCCCAGAACTAGGCAAAAAGGTGCTCCTGGAAGCGCCGCGGCTGCGGTGAGTCACTGTGCTCGAGGAAATGCTGTCACCGCCGGCCCTGCTCCACCACAGCCCCAGGCTCCAGCAGTTTTTGCCTTCTGCTATCAAAGGTTTTGGGCCAAGCCCCCTCCCAGGTGAAGCCAGAGTGAAATTGGGGTCCTGCTCACAGGTCTGTTGGCATCAAGAGCTGGGCGAGCCCATCCCCACATCACTGGGACTGCAGAGAGAGTGGGGCATGGGGCAGGCGAGGATGACAGCGCAATACCTGGGCAGGGAGCTGCCAGCCCGTGTTCCTATTCCTGTTCCCCTGCAGCTCCCAGACAGCAGCACCCTGCTGCATTGAGGTAATTCATTAACCTGGAGAACAATGAGTCCTAAACTTTCCCCCAGTCGCTGCGGTGCAGCTGGCAGCTGGGCCGGTGTGCTGGGGCCGGGCTGAGGGAGCGGTGCCAGCAGTGAGGGAAATGTGCAAATAGCCCAGGAATGTGCCCCAAGCAGGGCTCGGGGAAGGACAGGGGGAAGCCACCAGGTCCAGGAGAGCCCAGGGGGCTGCCGCAGGGCACGGTGAGGGAAAGCAAAGCACAGTTCAGCACCAGCTCGCAGCCTAAAAGCCAGTGGAGGTGGCGTGAAGAGCATCGTGCTGGCTGAGATGGATGCGTGAGGCTGGACACCAGCAGGGGAGGATGGGGTTGGCACAGTCGTGGCACTGGGCTTGGGTTTCCAGACCAGACGTGGCCTCTGGGAAGGAAAATGCAGCTGTGGGGAGAGCAGGGGGCTGTGTGCGATGGGCAGCAGCAGGGCTGGAGGTACAAGGAGAGGAGCCCTGAGCTCCACATCACCCACGGGGCTACACAATCCCTGGGGGGGCTGCAGGCAGCCTGGTCCCCCTCCTCTCCTCGCTTTGGCCATCAGAAGGCGGCAGAAATTAATCCCAACCAGGTCTGCACACAGACATCAGGCTCTCTACCTCACTCTGAGCACACAAACATCACCCAAATGCCCCAATGGAGAGGAGCAGGAATCCTCCCCGGCTAGCAGAGACTCTGGGATCACCGAGCAGTGAAGGGCCACTTTCCCCTGGCTTGGTGAGCGCGCCGGGGGCCGTGCCAGCCCTGCAGGCAGCGGGCAGCCGGGGGCTGCTTGATGCAGAAATCCCCACCCCGTGCAGCAGCCCCGGAGCTGCCGCCTGCCTGGCGCCAGCCCAGAGGGTCGGTGCCGCGAGCAGGAGCGAGCAGCTGAGCAAAGGCAGCGCGATAACATCTCATCTGGCAGCAGGGAAATCAAGCCCTCGGAGCGGGACATCCTCACGTGCCCGCTTCCTCCCGCACCGCAAACGAGCGCTTCGGTCTGGGGAGCGCGCCTCGTGTTCCATAAACACACCAGATTTGGCATCCTGGATTCGCAGCAGAGCGCTTTGAGCTCAAGTTATCCGAGCTGATGTCCCAGCTTTACTCCCACCAGCCCCAGGCTACCAAACCTGGTCAGATATGAGCACAAAAATTAACAGGATTGGTATTCAGGTGTCCCACAATGAGCTAAAATCCTTGTCTGCTACTCCTTCTCATTCCCCTTTTTCTTCCTGGCTTCGTTCTGATTTTGATTTACTTTTCTGCTCTCACAGGAGCAGCCCTGAGCCTGGTCGTGCCATACCCTGGGTTAATTCAGCGGAAAGCTGCTTTCTGAAGGAAACATTTGCCGTCTTGCTCCCAGCTTTGATTTGCCTGTCCCCACTTGCTTGCCAGGGCTTATTGGGCGATGTTAATAGGAAAGTTTCTTTGCACGGAGCCAAAGAGCTATTGTGCCCAAGTGATTTTATTCAAGAAGTACCAAAGCGCGCTCACTTTGTGTTCGAGGAGATGACATTCGTTTGATCGGTGTGTTTGAAAGCTCGGTGGGGAATACGGCCGAGAAAACACATTCTTGTGAGGAGCTGTTTCAAAAGAAAAGAAACAAGAATCCAGGAGAGATAAGAAAATTAATGTCTGCAGAATCTGGGAAAGCCTTGTGCAGAGGGACAGAGACAAAGTACGAGAATGCACTTTATTTGTGACAAGCTTTCCATCCTGGGCAGCCAAACAGGACATCCTGCTTCAGTTCTCCTTCCTCTCTTTAATTAGAGCTGCGTTCGGGACACTGCCATTAATGTTGTCTCAGCATTTCCATGACAAAGCCCTGTTTTTTGCGGGACTTTAGGAACTTGGCCCTAGAAGGGCCGTTATTAGGGCAGGACTGCTCGGCCCGGGGGTGGCGGTGACATCCCCACCGCACGGAGCTTGGGGTGTGGGGACCCCATCCAGGCAGGAGGAACAGCAGAAGACACCAAGCCCCCAGGCTCTGTGCACTTCATCCCCTGCCCAAGCAAGGATCCAAAACGTTTCACCCTCTGGAGGTTGTAAATGTCACAGAAAACACAACGCCCCCATTTCCAAATCTCCAGGTCACCGTGGAACCTGCCGTTTGCAGCTAATTTGGCTTGGGCAGCCTGGAAAGGCAAGCTGCCTCCCCAGCAATGCGATTTGCACTACCTGATGGCAAAACTTGGCTACGGCCCCTCTGGCCAAACCTGCCACAGAGGTGGGGACCCCCCGAAATCCCCCTTTAGGAGGCAGAGCAGCTCCCCAGTCCCAGGCCGTGGGGCTGCGCGGTGCTCCCTGACCTCTGCGGCTGCAGCAATTCCACACGGAGCTGGTCCAGGGAGCCCCAGTGTCAGAAAAAAAAACTGTTTTCCCGCTGTTTTCTTAATTGCTGCTCTTCCCTCCCTCCAGGTTAGCAGCTCCGCTCTCATGGGGCCGAGGCCGTGGCTTTTTATCCACCCCACGAGCTGGAGAAGCGGCTGCAGCGTTGCAAACCCGCTGTTTGCAACCGCAAGGCAAATGAGAGCAAACGGGCTGTAAAAGTCACCAGGGGGGCTGAAACCCTGCACAGGCCCTGTGGGAACTGGGGGCTAGGGGCTGCACTGGCAAGGAAAAATGAGCTCCTAAAAACAACCCTGAAAGGTACCAAAATGCAATTTCAACCCCAGGACAGGCTGGGTGAGTGCTGGAACCTGCCCTGGTGATAAACCTGATTCCCATCACGTATAACCGCCTTCCTTCGGGTCTCTGCTGCAGGACCTGGCGTTTGGGCGCTGGCTCTGAGCACGTGGGCAGGAGGAATCCTCGTTCCCATCCCTTTGTGGCACCAAGGGCCCCGTGTGCCCGCTGGGACGCCGTGCTCGCAGGGGCAGGGAAGTGCCAGGTCGTTCCTTGCTAACACCTCTGGGCTCAGCCTGAGAAGTGCTAAATATTACTAGCAAAAAGAAAACACTTTTTTTTT